AAGTCTTTGGCCCTCAAATCGCAATGCCCCCTAGCATCTGTTTTTCATACTGCAGACCACAAGCATGCACCTCCCTCTTAAAAAGATGATGGGAGTAAAGTTTCTGAGGAAAGTACACCTTGTGCTCTGTGAGATCTATCTCTATAACGTTACATTTGTAAGCTAAGAGCCTCTCTGTCCCATCTCAGGGTGCCCAGGCTGCTCAGAACGCTGACGAGGGGGTTTCGGAGCTGGACGGACCGAACAACAGCCACGTGCTGATGGACCTGCTGAAGGAGAAGGAGGAGAGGATCCTGGCCCTGGAGGCTGAGAACATGAAGTGGCAGCAGAAATACCTGGAGCAGAGCGCCCTGCAGCAGTGTGAGGTCGCCGCCGCTCCCGTCAGCAAGTACGTGAAACACTTCCATACTTCGAAACAAACTGTACCAATACGTAATACAAAATAAACTAGAAAGGTTAAACATTTGCAAACTAAATGCATAATGTTTTACCTTTGCATATGGTCTGCTCTGTTAAGTCTTACTCAAACACATTCATATTTATGGTGACAGGAGTCAAATCCCTTCTGCTATAAAATTGCAACATGATGTAACACAACACTAGTTACCATGGTGACAGACATCTGGTTCAGGTCATCTGGTTCTGACCTTATTTGTATCGAGAAGAAGAGGAAGAAACTGAGGCAAAACAAAATCTTTTCCTTTGGTAAACATAGTCAAATTCTCTTAGTCAGACCTTTCAGATAACAGCCGCTCTCTTTCATCAGTGACTGCACCAGTGTTTTCTTTGACTGAATAAAATGGGTAGAAGAGGTTGAAGATTGATACACCATTGTGATACAAATTTGTTTTTTAAAGGTCTAATCCTACCATTTTGCCCTCCCCTTCACAGAGAAAGACTCCACATTGAAGAACCAGAAAGGAGTGAAGAAAAAGCAGTTCCAAGAATGACATATGACCTACCAAGGCCAACAACCGTAGAAGCAAGGTATGTCAACTCCTCTAAAAAAGCTAGAAGTGACATTCTTTGAAATACCGCTATTCGCTCTAATCTTGAAAGTTCATCTGTGTTGGTAGAAGTCATTATTCAGCAGGTTTAAACTGTAATTTCCAACACAAGAAAAATATGGACTCACCCAAAATTTTGACTGTACAACTCCAGTCTTTGTCAAGGAATGAACAATCCACCACTTCCTTGACGTCACGCAGATAACACACGTGACTCCGTAAGCAGTGGATCATAGATTGCTATTCGCTCTAGTTTAGGATATTAATAGACATATGTTTTACTGTTGTTGATCAAGATTTCTGTGTCTCCCATCAGGCTGAAAACGTTGAACATCGAGATGGCGCAGAAAGATGCCATGATCAGGGTCCTCCAGCAACAGTCGCAGGAGAAGGACACTACAATCTCTGCGCTGGAGCACGCCCTCCACCCGACCAGCCCGCAGCTTCCCGAGCAGCAGACGGCGCTACATCGCGGCATGGACACCCTCAGCCCGCCGAGGATACCCACCATCAACAGACCGGTGTCGGCGACTCAGCTCAACACCACGTCAGGCAGTATGGGAGATCTGCAGCAGTCCCGGATATCCAGTTCCACCGGTGACATCGTCCCGAAGAAGTCACAATCTGCCACGAGTTTGAACAGCATGACCAGTATCGGATCAGCACAGGATCACTCAGGTGATTATTCAAGTTTCTTTCTTTTTGTTCTGCAAGCTTTCCTTTAAAGTTACTTACAAACAAAACAAAGTTATGAAGTATTGTAGCATTGATGTGAAGTGATTTGCTTTAGAAAATATATTTTTGTCATGTCTTGTCATGTATTTGTCTTGGAAGTGTAAAAGATGGTGTCTCTTCTCTATCATGTTGTTGTCAGTTGAGTCAGATGTTACAAATTTTTGTACTAACACTGTCTTCCCATTGGTACCCATAGATTCAACAACTTTACATACTGACACGGTCATCTCACTTGTACCCACAAATTCAACAACTTCTATACTGACACTGTTATCCCGTTTGTACCCACAGATTCTTCCTCAGAAGCTTCCAGATCCGACAGCAGTAAAAGAAGCAAAGACGAGCGGCTGAGAGAGCTGAATCGGCAGATAGCAGAACAAGATTCTATCATCCGTCGACTTCAGTCGGAGGCGGCCCATATTTGGAAGTCATAGCCTGGCTATCAGGTTTCAAACAGGCTAGTAAAGTTCGAGCTAACGTTGGAAAAAGGTGTTAGCCAGATACAGGCAATGCAACAGCACAGATGTTTGAGGAGAAAATTTTGACTCACCTAAGTCAGTTGACACGAAGAAAGATGGAAAAACAAGAACTTTCTAAAACTCTGTTTGGTCCATTCCATCTAAAAAGTTGACAGGGGTATAGTTAGGAGATTTTTTTAAAGTATGGGTTTTTCAGAGAACTTTCATACAGGGGAGGCTAATGGTGACAACCCCTCCTTTTTGAATGGAATAGCCCCAAATTACCTTACACCATCTTTCAATGAAGTCTGAATCGGTAGGGTGTCAGTGAAATTTGACGCTTCTTTATGTGAAGTGGCACATGAGAAAAGTTATCATTTCCATGTATTTTAGAATCATTCCCTTGTAGATCCAAGGAAATTCCACTGTGCAGTATATAATCCATAATTATAGCTGCAAGTATACTTCTTAATTCAAGTGTAATATTATTCTGTAAATAACTGTGTTCTACTTTTGTGCAAGACACAAATCAGCTTTTCTTTTCTGTATTTAATTTCTTTGATCAAACGTAAAGGATCATATACTAGCAGATGTATCGCAGCTGGATTGTAAAGCTAATATTTTTTAATCTATCTTTGTGTAAAGTTACAAGGGTAATGTCAGGTAAATCTACAAAGCTATCTCTGTAAGGGATTTGGGCAGGTGGCAAATAACTAAAAACCTATATTGCCTTACTAGAAAGTAGCCAAATCCCATATATCATAGTTGTCCATTTATTAAAAGTAATGTGCCTTTGAAAATAGGTTTCATATAAGACACGCACTTACTGTTTTTAGTAATGATATTATAGTTAAGCCAAGATGATTTTTTAAAAAATTGTTTTGCTAGCTTTCTTGTTTTAGCCCTTTGTATCTTTCGGATTGGCAGGCCAATATCTAGTTAGGGCAAAATAAGGCACTAGCTAGTAGATAACAAAAGTTTTTCGTTCGTACTAAGAATTGTTCAGCAACATTTGTTGTTACATTTGTATACCTTCACAATGTAATAATATCAGGCATTTTTCATATCCGGTTATTAACTTAAAATGTATGTAGGGAATTCTGCAATCGTTACATTTTGCCAGGCAATACTTCTTATTAACATATTTGCTTATGATTGTCGAATTCTTAACATTCTCCATATCACTGAGACACATCAGAATGTTAAAACTATGTCTTGTCTACATCATAATTGAAGTTATTTTTTACTTTTTGTACTTTATTTTGTACATCTGTCCATATACGAGTAGTATATTAAAAATGGAAGCCAGTTGGAAGTATGAATAGTCTAAATGGAGGCATGAATGGGCAAGTAAGGTTGAGAGTACAAAAATGTTTTGAAGAAATGTATCTAGAGGACAATTTTGGGGTAAAGATGAGAGGTCGTTCTTATTGAAGAGAGAAGAAGAGTTGTAGGAAATTGGTCTATTTTTATTTGTCGGTTGTACATATTCAAGTCAGAATAAAACATGGTGACAAGGAGAGAGAACCTCTGTGTTGCTTGAGTCTTGTTTACATCAGACTATACATTCTGTGTTCCATCCGTAAAGAATTTCACCAGGTTGACGAATGATATTTATTCACTACCACTTGTTTAATCATAATTTCCCTGATGAAGATGACGGAAAAAGCATTGACATCCAGTGCAGTTTTTAGGGCCTGGAAACCTGATTTTTTAAGGTCAATATTCTAGTCACCTATTTACAGATCTGAGTTGAAACCACACTATCCCAATGTAAATTGACCCTCATGGAGCAAAAATACCCAAAATTCTGACCGAAAATGGTTACTGGAAGGGCCCTTGGCTGATTTTTAGGGTGCTATTCATAAAAAAGAATGAATGCCTAAGAATTCATAAAATAAAGGACTCATCTCTGGGTTTGTTTCTGCAGTTTTGAATATATATACCAAAAGTATGAAATACTGATTGAAATGTACTAAAAGATTGCCTTAATCAGAATATTTCCAGTTTTATTTCTGTGTGCCTTTAAACAAGTGGTTGTGAATAAACAACTTTCCTATTCAATACATCTTGTGTTGACTGAGGATGAAAAAGGTAACACAATAATTCAATTTTCACTTCTTTGCCATCAGGTTCTGTATTTATTCATTGCATGTGGATTCGATCACATAAAAATAGCGTGAAAATATATTTTTTTTTACAAAACTTCATGTTCCTACACTACTTCACTACACTTTTTTGTACACCCGATGTATAAATTATGAGCTGCAAGATTTGATATTAATCTCACAATGTTGTGCCCTACTTCAATTAGTAACTAAATAGCAGCATCAACCACATCATTATAGCTAAAAAAACTATTGCAAAACAACTCTATTCTAAGGTAACAAAATATATACATTACTGTTTTCCCAGGCCCTTTGTCATACATTGTGGATGTGTTTTTCAAAATACCCTAGCTACATGTATTTCCCACCAGCAGTTTATCTCACAAAACCCTGCCTAATTCTTCTCTATACTAAACCTTTGTCGTATCTGTATTGCACATGACTCTTAGCTTAGTGGACGCTCTTTTAGTGTCCTCAGATACAAATAAATGTATGGTGAGTTTTCTGCACTGTATAACTGTTTCATGTTATGAAGTGTTTCTGGATCTGTAAGCCAGCCAATGTGTGCATTCTTCATTCCACCTTTGAATTCACAGATACATGTTCAAGGTTGTTTCTCAAGCAAGTAGGTGAGAAGGGAAGACTTCTTTTTGCTTTAGTGGTGAGGAAGCCACCTGATACTAGAGTATGCAACGAAGGACAGTGCAGCAGAGACCTCTGTCACATTTTAGAAGTACTGCAAGTCATGCTGGTTTAGTAATAGGTGAGTTCCCTGGGCAGACATAGCCCATAACTCTCCCAATCACCCCTTCTTGCCATTGGCCATCCCAATCTGTGCGGAGTGTGGTATGATATGCAAGGACAGTGCAGCAGAGACCTCTGTCACATTTTGGAAGTACTGCAAGTGGTTTAGTAATAGGTGAGTTCCCTGGGCAGACTTAGCCCATACCTCTCCCAACCACCCCTTCTGGCCATCCCTATCTGTGCGGAGTGCGGCATGTGGGTCTTCGGAATGGTCGGACTGGAGATGAACTGTCTGTCGTACGGGTCATACTCCTCGTGTACGGGCGACGTGGTGTAGCTGAAGGCGGACATGGCGGACTGCGGTCGCATGGTGGCCGCGGGAATGTGGTTCCCCACGGAGTGGGACAGGTGGTAGTTTCTCGGTGATGAGAAAATGGAGTGAGTACCTGCAAGAGGGAACAACACGTCTTTTAGGTCATCCTCTTGGAACCCCAAAACTGATGTGAGCATGTGAATAAAAAAAGTTTGGCAAAAAAAAAGTTGCCTTCATTATGAAATGTAGGTGGTCATGAAGGTTGAACAAATGAATAAACTAATTGACATGGTGAATTTTCATTCCTTCACATTTTCTTCTTGTTCTATGGAATGGATTTTGCCATTCTATGACATAAGTATTGTTTTCCAATATTTTTTTTCAACTTACGGCATATATTTGCTCATTTTGCAGCTACTTTGCACGATTTAGAGTATGGTCTAAAACTTTTTTTTGAAACGGATGAAATTTCATGCACGTGCGGATGTAATCCATATGAACAAATCAACATGGCCTTAGTCCAATTTCCCAAAATTCCCAGAGAAACTGAAAGACATGACGTTACCAGGGAAAGCCTCCACTGCCTGGTCCTTGTACGACCTTGAGACCCTGGCTGGATGTCTCGACCTTGGCCCTGAGAAGACAACAACAACAAAAACAACAACAGATTACAATCTTTCCTCTTCACGAAACCAATTTTGTGTACAAGTTGAGAAAAATTCAGCTATACAACATTACAGAGAAATATTATCACTTCCTCAATATAATTGAAATTGAAAGGCCTATAAAATGCCCTTTGTGACATTTGTGGCATTATCAAATGAGTGAATAAAAAAAATTGATAGATTAATTGACTGATTGAAGAAATGAATAATTGACTGAAAGTAAAAGGTTTATCAAATATTGATAACCAACTCACTTTCTCTTTCTCCGAACAATAGAGGGTCGTATTCCGACACAGGACTGACGGTTCTGTAGGGGTCGTGCGTCCACCTTCCCATGGTGCTCTCAAACCTGAGTCGTGACGCGTGGAGGAACACGCCATGTCCGTCCTTACACGAGAAGTACTGTCGTCCCACGAACGAACCGTTGTGTTTCCCAACTGTGAAAATGTCAACAGTGAATGATCATTGAGCTTGGATATATGAAATCAAGTTTTCTATCATCACCTCAAAGTAGGAAAATCAAACAACAGCAAATTGAAAAAGCAAAAACTGAATTTTTTGACATTACAGTCACATATTGATTTTGAAAGTAAGCCTTTGAGAAGCTTTGAAAAAATCCTGGAGACTGTAAAATAGAATGAGAAGTTACATAGAATTAGAACCCCCTTTGATGCCTCTATTTTATTGCATTCCTTTAATCAAAGTTAAAGAAAATTAATACCTCACACATTTTTTTGAGATTTACAATTCTATTTAAATGTGTGGGGTCGTGTGGCGTAATGGTAGTGTGTTTGGGAAAAAAAATGACAAAAAAAACCCCACACCTACCTTGAAAATCGAACTCCACGCCCACCCAGTTCCCCCTCATCCCGTTCAGATGTCCCGTGTAGCGTACAGTCCCGTGTTCGATCCTCCCGTGGTACAGCACTTCCACACGCTGGCCCACGTGAACGTTGATGAACAAAACCATCGCAGTTTAGTTTTCAGCTGGAGCTGGAAAATAATCGATAGCGAGAAAATGTGAGTGACGTAGGAAAAAACAAAAACAGATTTGCTGATCATGTTTTGAATTTATAGTTCTGATTAGGTTTTGAATATGATATTACCATGAAGCTATAATTCTCAAGTTATTGCTCCATGATATTATAGCTAACAGGTGGTCTGCTTTAAGGAGAACTATGAACCACTAACAATAAGCCAGATGTCTCATAATTACTATAATTGCTGTAATTAAAACTGTAATCAGGGCAGAACGCTTACACCACAAGATGTTTGTCTGTCTACTTTATATAAACATCATTGAAATGCTTTAATATTAGTTATCAAGTTTATGAGACAAGCTGTCAGTGATATAACTGCTTGATGAATGAATTCTAACAACACCCAAAACACCACAACAAGTGCATGTGACTATATAAACAAACATCGCCAGTTCAATCAAATGTAACCCAAAACAGATCAATTGCAAATGGCCTATGCATTTCTGTCAAGCCTCTTACTTCGTAAGATATCAACTGTGATTTCATAATTATAAATTTGTTGGTCAATCTTACTCTTCTTTTCATTCCTCTTTTCATTGAAAACCAATCAATCATATACTGCATATAGAATCATATCGCACAGACTGACCTTTGTTTTGTAGCAGGTCGCCCTCTAACACCTGGTCTCACCTGGCGTGATTAGTTGCCTGGCAACGCTCTATGATCTCGCCACTTCTCGCCAATTATCTCAACTCTCGCGAGATTCGGGCAACCCATTGAATGCTGGGATTTCTAGATTTCTATGGTGCCCCGGGAATATCGCGGCAGCTTTTCAACCCATAACTCCGATATTCCCTTAGATCCTGAAGTATATTTATCATTTTTAGACGTATGTTGGATTATACAAAGTCTGAGCGAAGTATCACGGAGATGGCAAAGGTATAAGTTGTGGAAAAGTCGTCCTAAACGTTGCACCGATACTGCCCCCCTCCCACACTGATTTTTGTTTTGGCAGTACTGTACTACTGTACTTGGATTTTGGACGTTGAAATATCTCTGTAAAAATCGGGATGTCTGACAGGGTGATGTCTGACGTGACGGCGGAGTCCATTAAGGTGATCGCGGAGTCTGTCGGGATCGGACAGCTCCCTGACGAGGCGGCCGCTGCCCTGGCAGAAGACGCGACGTACCGGCTGAAACAAATAACCCAGGTGTGCAGAATAATAATTTTTTTGTAGGACCTCTGCAAAAATATTATGTTACCAGTATATGAATTAAAGGACAGATCAATGTTTGAGACAAGTTTTGTACAAGGGTTCTCTAAGATGTTTTGAACGGTCCAGTGTCCTGATGTATAATTTTTTTAAACGTTACATCAAAATAACGTGCAGGTATATTTTCATAATTTATAATTTTTATGCACATGTGGCACCCATTTTGTTTATCAAATATTATTATACTGTATTCACAGGAGGCGGTCAAGTTTATGCATCATGGGAAGAGGAGGAAACTGTCAACAGCTGACTTTGACAATGCTCTGAAACTGAAAAATGTGGAAGTAAGTAATTTGTGTTTTATACATTTTGTATTTTTTTTCTGATCATTTCTTACTACTTAATTAAAAAAAGTGAATGGACAAGAAATTGTAGCACTTAGAAAATTAAAGAATTCATTATATCAACTAGAAAGGAAACAGTTGCAAAGCAAATGCACAATGTTTACTCTCATCTGCCGAATAAACATACCCCCGGAATAACGTACCCCCCCCCCCCCGGACAAATCTTCAAAATCAAATAAACATACCCCCGGAATAAACGTACCCCCCGGAAAATTACCAAAATTGACGGGTAACCTGTGTCTCTTGTACTAAAATGCGCCCTTACTGATATATGCACAAATCTTTAACTGTTATTTGCTATTCGGAATTTAAATAGACAAAAAAAAAGAGCATTTAATATTTCGTATTTTGATGAGCACCACCCATGACAATAGAAAATTCAGTCGAATTTATGCACGCGGTGATTGCAAAAACCGGCCCGAAAATGACAAGTTTCTCGCTACAATACGCGTTTATAAACATCTTCACGTCAATGATTTGTCAATTTTTTTCACACGAAGTTGAAAAAAATTAACTGGTTTTCAAAAAATTAATAAACGTACTGTGCAAAATAAGAACGTACTGGGTGGATGTTCGGGCCCAAAAAAATAAACGTACCCATATGTTTATTCGGCAGATGAGAGTACCTTCAGTTACCACATTAATAGATATGGTGACAGGAGTCTAAATCCCTCCTGCTATAAAATTGCAACATGATGTAGCCGACACCAGTTACCATGGTGACAGACATCTGGTTCAGGTCATTGACCTAATGTGCTTGGAGAAGAGGAAAGAGAGCAAAATCAATACTGTAAGTCTACAAATTTCCGCGGTATATTTAGATTCGCGGAATTCGCGGGGACCTCTGTACCGCGAATCTATTTCCCCGCGAATATGTTTTGCGTAAGTGCGCCCCCCTCCCCACATGCATTAACGACGGTAAGCGAAACACAAACACACGCAACAAACACAAATCACTGCAAATCAACTTTATTCTTAGCAAATGTACGTATGTTGAGTACCAAAATCTTTTTAAGTTATACTGATGTCAAAAAATTATAATATTATGAGACACCGAATCGCGATACTGCGGCACTGGCCGTGTCAAACGTGCACCGCCGGACAAAAATCTCTGTGTGCAGAGCGCCAGCCATGCGCGCCCGGGCGCTTGAAAATTGCGGGCACATCGGGCATATCTACAAATATTTTGATTAAAAATATAACTGCTGGTATCTGGTTATGTTAGTTGATTCTCTTTTGCGCCCTGCTTTGCGGGCGTTTTTTTATTGTTTGTCTGTTTTGCTGGATAGAAACGCTACCGTGGGCCGCTACAAAACCGAAGGCGACCTTTGCATACTTCCGGGTTCAAAATCTCGCCGAAGACGGCATAAATATTTTTAGTAATATATATTTTCCCGAAAGATTCTTTCGATTATGCATTTCTTCACTAGAGTATCGATGTGTAGTCGTGGAAAATAGCGTTTTAGCGCTTATTTCCGAACAAAGAAAATTGTTTACACGTGCGTCAGATCGATCGTCAGCTATACCACCGGCAGTCTCGCGCGGTGCACGAAACAAATTTTTGCGCCGCGTTTTAGGATATAAATGCCGGAACACGAACTTTTATTATTTTAAATATACACTTTACAAATTTTTCTTTGAAAAATAGCCAAGGGGAAATCGCGAATCTAAAAATACCGCGGATTGTCCATTTTCCCGAAACCGCGAACTTTAGGCCCCGCGAATCTAAAGAGACTTACAGTATGTTTTCCTTTGGTAAACATAATGATGGCTAATTTCTTCTACTTTGTTGTTTCCCACAAAGCCTCTCTATGGTTTCCACGCGGAAGAACACATCCCGTTCCGTTTTGCGAGCGGTGGCGGACGTGAGCTGCACTTCTACGAGGAAAAGGAGGTGGAGCTTGGTGACATCATCAATGCTCCCCTTCCCAGAATTCCACTGGATGTCAACTTGAAAGGTGTGCTTGTTTTATCACAAACTTAAATTGTAAAAATTTTGAGACAGATTATACCCCCTTGTAAGATGTATTCTCTATGTTAAAAAGTGTATTAAGAATCAAAAATGGTTGTTGGTGAATGGTAAATTATAGAGATTCTTTATTGACTCAACAATAAATAAATAGTATCAAATGATATGATAATGTTGATATCATTTATTATGAAACCTTTTCCACTGCCCCCCTCTCCCAGCCCACTGGTTAGCCATTGAAGGAGTTCAGCCATCCATTCCTGAGAACCCTCCTCCAGGTTAGTATGTCTCTCAAGTAAAAAAAAAATTACTCATTCATTTGTCCATTCAGGCATTCACTCATTCATTCACTCACTCGGTTAGTCATTCAAAGGTGCATGACAAATGGATATTGTTGACTTGTGAGTTAATATGTTTACTGAAAACACCCTCCAGTTTAATTTGGGAGTTCCAGTTTAATTTGGGAGTGGACTCCCATAACTCCACAACCTTAAACCCAAATGGCTTACCATCACATATGCTAAGTAAAAATGATGTCAAGAATACGTAGCAGCCATTGATGACCCCCTGGGGATTAGTGCAATTCTGCAGAAATCTGCAGAAATCTGCAGAAATCTGGGAACCTGAGCCAGAAATCTGCAGAAATCTGGGAACCTCAGCCAGAAATCTGCAGAAATCTGGGAACCTCAGCCAGAAATCTGGGAGCCTGAGCCAGAAATCTGCAGAAATCTGGGAACCTCAGCCAGAAATCTGGTTAGGTCTTCCAGAGTTTTTGTCAAGTGTGTCAAGAGATAATGTGTTTGCCTTCAATTTATGAATGTCCTGATACTGGGAAGCAGTTGTTGTGGCTATGCAATATCATACAGAAATGATACAGATTCCACCTGATGGTTGTGACCACATGATTGATTGAAAAGTGTAATGTTTAGGCATGTGAAAGTGACATGGGTTTCTGCCAACATCAGCTTGGATTTGCAGGACTATCCTGTGGTTGTCAGACAGTAAAAAAAGTCAGACAGTGAAAATCCCATTTGTTTCAATTACACACCAGATTAGCTGCTAAGCCTTTGGAGACCCTGACACCCCAGTCCAACAATGGGATCAGGCCTTTTGGACTGAAGATAAATCATTTTGTGTCAGCTGACACATGGCTACTCCAAGAACTTATAAAGCACATGCGGTTTAGGGTCCATCTCTTTAGGGACCATCTCGGTCTATTTACCTAATTGATAACAAGGCATGGCAGATGAGGGTGTCACAATGATGCGGACATGTGACTTGACTTACATGTAAGTCGGGTGCCAGTCCTCCTTTTGCCACCCGAACTACAATGGCTGCCCAGTAGCTTCTGTCCTGCATCCCCTTTCCCATGTCCTGAGCCTGGAGGTCAACGTCCCTTGCCCAATGCCCATATGTGCCCCTACTTATAAAATTGAAATCCTTGCCATGGGTTACCAAGACTAACTTTTTGAAGGGTAGTTTGATAAGTCTTTTTAATAAAAAAAATGTACCTGGAGAGGACTTCTGAATCCTATTTCCCTTAAGTTTGTTTGATCCAAACTTGCTCTGTCAGGGACAAAAATCAGGCTTTTTACAGACCTTAGGATACATTGTATGTTGCTTTACTTTAATGCTTAGACTTCTGTGTATGTACATGTTGACATCTTATAGTATTACATGTCCATGCAAGACAAACTGAAACGAAACACCACTATCGTATAAAAGGAACAGAGCACACATGCACTATTTTTGAGGGACTAGAGAAGTTACAGATTGAAGATCATAGCCTGAAATAACATCTGTTTGACCTCTGGGTCACCCTTCCTCTGCCAGGGACCAATTCTCCCAAGTGGCTTGTCCCTTGAGCCTCAAAGGTACCTGGGCATACTAGTATGTTGCCCAGACCCCAAGCTCAGACATTTTCTGGTACCAAGTGAAACCCAGCACATAGAGACCACTTCTTACATGTAGCATAATAAGAAGTCACAATAGAGGACAAGAAAAGAAGACTGTGTGTGATTGGTAAAACAAAAGGGTAAAACTTTTAACAGTACTGCTGGATTTTAATAATAGAGGGCCTGCATGCCCTTTTTCGTTAACCGTTATGATGGGCTATTTTAATTTACCGTTAATCGTTGCCGGCCCGCTCTAATTCAACGTTAAGCGTTATCGGTATATTCATCGTGAAGCGTTATTGGTCGTTTTAATTCAACGTAAACCGTTATTTGTCATCCTAAATTCAGCGTTAAGCGTTAATGAATAATTCTTCGTTACGCCTAATTTTGCCTTTCAAAGTGCAGGAAAATGCGTCATTGAAGGTTTAAAAATACAAAATTTCCCGGGGGAGAATGCCCCCGGACCCCCCTACATTGCTCGCGCCTTTGGCGCTCGGTTCATTCGACTCTAGCCAGTACCAGTTTTTGGTCAATTACCGGAAGTTTGCGGAGAGTTACAGAATCTTTTTTGACAGGCAAAATTAATAAAAATCTTGAGTAAAAATATGAAAACATCAGAAGGACCGACAAACACTCTCAACACCATGATTTGCCTCTCAAAATGCGGGAAATTTCGTTTTTGAAGGCTTAAAAATCCTAAATTTCCCGGGGGAGCATGCCCCCGGACCCCCCCTAGATTACGAGCGCCTATGGCGCTCCCCTTTCAAAATCCATCGGTAAAACTGGGCGAACGGAAAAAAGTCAAGCTGGGTAGAGCCCTGGCCGATGTCGACTCGGACTCCCCTTTATTTGTCGACGCACTCGGGGACCAGGGCAGGTGGGAAACACAGGGAGCACATACCTTCAATGCGTGCTTCATTACATGTAAGGTATACGTAATTTTGTCAGTGATCACCTTTTCTCACAAAGCGAGATACCAAATCCAGTGCAGCTCGAAAAAAAGCCTGTCAATTTACCGTTAAGCGTTGCCGACCATCCTGAATTTACCGTTAAGCGTTATCGGCCCTGCTGAATTTACCGTTAACCGTTGCCAGGACCCCCCATGCAGACCCTCATAATACTCAGAATACAACACTAGAAGTACAACAGTGGGGGGGGGGGTATAGGCGCTACTAGCTGATCCTAATTCTTACACAGGTATCTTAGGTTTCTATATATTATATTAGCCTTTGTGTAATTCAGTCAACTTTGGTGCGAATGCAATGTGAATTAACAGTATTCGAGTATTGGAGTTGCTGTCCTGCTTGTCCATACACATGTAATACATTCACTTTGTCCATGTTACCATAAGGCCATGTTGATTTGATTAATATGGATGACATCCACGCACGCATGAATTTTCGGCCGTTTCAAAAAAAAAAAGTTTTCAACCATACTGTAAATCGTACAAAACAGTTGCAAAATGAGCAAAAATATACCGTAAGTTACAAAAAAACCATACCAATGTCGTAGAATGCCAAAATCAAAGTTAACGAAAAAAGACGAAATTGTTAAGAAATTAACTTGACGACTAGATTATTCGCCAAACCATATTCTGTCTCATTTGTTCAACCCTCATGACCACGTAGATTTCATAACAGAAAAAAACTTTTTTTTTGCAAAAGTTTTTTTTTTTATTCGCATGCGCGCATCAATTTTGGGGTTCCCGGAGGATGTCATCCATATAATCAAATCAACATGGCCTAAATGTTACATCTTACAACTGCACCTTTGTCTACTAATAGTACTATGTGAAAAAGCACCTCCAGTGTTATATGTATATGTTACATGCATGGTAACAAGTCTTAAAATAAAGAATAAACGAGGTACAATGTCATGTAAATCAGCAACAGTATAGCACTACATGTACACGTACATAAAGGGATGCACTTTGAAATTCCTTACAAGCACTCCCCAGTTTCAAACTTATACTAAGTGATGAAAACAGTTATATACATTTAATATCAAAAGTTTTCAACAGTGTCGAGAGCCAATCCCTCTCCCTCCACTGCTTTTTACCTCCCCAACCAAAGTCAGGTACCCAATTTACACAGTCCCGTGAGTACAGAGAGCATCTCTTGCAATCAATTTAATCGGTTTGCGCAAAGCTTTACAGGACAATTATACATGTATGTACCAATTTTACCTAGTACATGTATGCTTGTATGCTGGAAATGATGTGTTGCTCTTAGGGCACTAGTTCAATACCCGGAGACCTGGTACTGCAACCTAACTATTAGACACAGGTAATACAAGTCAACTGTGACTAATTTGGAGCCGATGTGTACAGGCTGGAGAGTTGAACTTTTGAGTAGAACTTCGTGTTTAAAATGTCTAGCTACAGTTTGTATTTATAGAGAAATAACAATGAAAGGCCCATTAGAAAAGTAAAATGCTGGCTGCTCATGACTGTGCAGGGACAGAAAAATACCCAACATCTAAAACCAGCACCACACTTCTTGTATCACAGGTCACCATGAAACTAGGCATATAAAAGCCATCTGAGGTTATGGATTGGCCTTGAAAATAAAGACCAAAATGAACTGGGTTACGATTAGTGCATGGAGAGAGTGCAAGCTCCAAAGAGAATTCCGAAGACCACTTCCTGTCTATGCACACAAACACACTGTGACAATATTAGGTGGACAAGGGATTTGGGGCTGAGATTTACCAAGCTGTTGCAAGATATGTGATATCCCAACTGGCCATGGGGTCTTTGCCTAGTATGGAATAGATGATTTTGTCACCTTGAGGTGCCACAGTGTACGTACATTTGTACTTCAAAATAAAACTAGAAAGTACACAACAATCATACAGAAACAAACTTACACAGATATGATGTAAAACTGCTTAGAACAATAAAGCAATGTATCATATAAAGTATTTTTTCTAGTGCAAATCATTCTAGTACAACTAGAATCAGTGTTACCAAACTAGACGTTAATTTCACAAAATGGTTTCATTTCTGCAACTACACGCATTCCTACCTGCACTGTTAGTGTCATTTCTACAAGAACAAAAGCTGAAGGCTTCCACATGACATATCTAAGTAACAATGTATCTAGTACACATGTACATTTTGGTACATTTCTTGTCATGTTGACCATCACCAGAGGGGAATTTTTTTTCTTTAAAATCAGGGAAAATCAACAAATGTAAATACTTCTTATTGTAACTTGTAGTAAGTTGTACCAACATCAACGATTGCAAACACAGGCTAAGTTGTTTAAAAAAAATAAAACTGCAGATAGATTTCGAGAAATTGTCCAATGAATTTGAGGGGATCGACAAGTCAGCTAAGGCTTTGAATTCAGAAAACTTGAAACACATCCTTAGAGGAGGTTGGTCAAAAATCAGGTGACCTATTGACACCAGTCGGGAAATGCCAAAGACTGAGGTCACCTACAGTAATTCAATCATCCGATGAGGCAAATGTGCGAGGTGAAGCTGTCAGCATGATTGAGAGCAAACTGTATAGGAAAGCCCTGACCTACATGATTATATAATGTATGATGAGAACTTGACTTTTGGGTACATGTAGCATAGTAGGTATTCAATTTTACAAGTAGCCCAGCCGTTTTTCGCTCCATTGCTCCAAGGTCAAAGACTTTGAGACTTCTCATATATACAATAGTTACAGCATAACACAATAATTATTGCAAAGTAGATGTAAAGTACCTCAGATATTTTGTCTGTTGGGTATCTTTAAGATATAAATATATCTATTAAAGAGAGGTATGATCATATGGTATGAGGGGGAGAAGCACCACTATGGTAATACTACATGTATTGGCTGTCCTTAGGCCATAGGAAGACAGCAAACCCTAAATCTAGTTGAAAGCATGAAAAAACAAGCTAAACAAGAAACCACAAGATGCCCTAATTTTCCGATTGGAACTTTTGAACATGACTAATGGAAGTGACAAAACTGATACAGATACATGTAGTATCAAAGCCAACAAGTCTTTCCTTTTTGTAGAAGAAGGATATTGGTAGAATGTATAACATTTTCATCATTGATGCAAATCTCACAGTACCACAAGATAGAGTCAATTCCGTGGAAAGAACCAGTACACCACAATGCACCCAGTGACTTTGCCAGGGGCACACTGTAGCCTTCAAGCATCAGTGGTGTGAGGGAACCCACAGTCCCAGTGGTGATGATCAGCTGTATCACTTTACCCGTCTCCCAGACCAGGGTTCAGACTGCGGTCACAAGTCCATATCACAAGGCACCAGGGTTGAGAGAGGGGTCAAAACATGCCATTCTTGTGCCTTATGTTTTTCTAAGGTCACTCTGTGGCCATCTCACCACAGGATGGATTATAGATCCTCAACAGTTCGAATTTGTACCATGTATCAAGGTATACATGACTGTATGTATGCTGTAATTACATGTAATACTATATACATGTATATATACACCTAAGAACTTTGCTTGAACACTTTACCTGTTGAATAATAAACTACACATTTGGTGTAATGCGAAGTCTTTCAGGCAGAAAAATTGTTTTTAAATGGTGCTTAAGGTAAATATACCTATTTGAAAATTCTTCCATTCAAGTTTCAAGGTGCAGCTTTTAATCTCTTCATGTATCAGCTATAGCAACGGACTGGCTGCTTCTCAAAGGGGAACAAATCTCCAGAGGCCCTCCAGCCAGATTGAAACACTGAAGCTTTCCTATTGGTTATATGCTGCTGGATTACTGCATTCCTATTGGCTCTGAGAAAAGCACTGTTAGGTTTTAGCGGGAAAATCAAGCTGTTTTTTTTACCCTGTTACAGTTGCTGTCCTTAGGCCATAGGAAGACAGCAAACCCTATAATCTAGTTGAAAGCATGAAAAAACAAGCTAAACAAGAAACCACAAGATGCCTTAATTTTCCGATTGGAACTTTTGAACATGACTAATGGAAGGTAGTGGGCATCATTGTGACACCCTCATCTGCCATGCCTTGTTATCAATTAGGTAAATAGACCGAGATGGTCCCTAAAGAGATGGACCCTAAACCGCATGTGCTAGTTCTTGGAGTAGCCATGTGTCAGCTGACACAAAATGATTTATCTTCAGTCCAAAAGGCCTGATCCCATTGTTGGACTGGGGTGTCAGGGTCTCCAAAGGCTTAGCAGCTAATCTGGTGTGTAATTGAAACAAATGGGATTTTCACTGTCTGACTTTTTTTACTGTCTGACAACCACAGGATAGTCCTGCAAATCCAAGCTGATGTTGGCAGAAACCCATGTCACTTTCACATGCCTAAACATTACACTTTTCAATCAATCATGTGGTCACAACCATCAGGTGGAATCTGTATCATTTCTGTATGATATTGCATAGCCACAACAACTGCTTCCCAGTATCAGGACATTCATAAATTGAAGGCAAACACATTATCTCTTGACACACTTGACAAAAACTCTGGAAGACCTAACCAGATTTCTGGCTGAGGTTCCCAGATTTCTGGCTCAGGCTCCCAGATTTCTGCAGATTTCTGGCTGAGGTTCCCAGATTTCTGCAGATTTCTGGCTCAGGTTCCCAGATTTCTGCAGATTTCTGGCTCAGGTTCCCAGATTTCTGCAGATTTCTGCAGATTTCTGCAGAATTGCACTAATCCCCAGGGGGTCATCAATGGCTGCTACGTATTCTTGACATCATTTTTACCTAGCATATGTGATGGTAAGCCATTTGGGTTTAAGGTTGTGGAGTTATGGGAGTCCACTCCCAAATTAAACTGGAACTCCCAAATTAAACTGGAGGGTGTTTGAAGCAAAACATTGTTTTTGCTCTGTTTCCTCTTCTTCTTCTCCAAACTAATGAGGTCAATGACCTGAACCAGATGTCTGTCCCCATGGTTACTGGTGTTGGGTCATGGTTACTGGTGTTGGGTTAGCAGGAGGGATTTAGACTCCTGTCTGACCATACATATGAATGTTTTTGAGTAAGAATTGACAGAGCAGACCATATGCAAAGGTAAACATATTTCTTTATGGAATTATTAGATAAGTGAAATATTTCGATCTGTCCTGACCAGTCCCCAAGGAGGACCAGCATGCAGCTGACAGGCCACCCGGGGTCACCGCAAAGCCCCCTGGGAAGGATGGGACCAAACCGGCTGGGAAGCCTGGCAAAGCTGAGGTCAAAGGTCTTCCATCAGAGGTCGCAGGGGTCAAGTTGAAGCCAGTCTTAACTCATGAACTATCTGTAGTAAGTTTACCAGACAAATTAATTCAGTTGTATAGTAATACAAGGGAAAAACAACTTTTTACCTGTGTACCGTACTTTGTAATGTGGATTTCAATGAAAAAAATCAAAAGTACCTTGTGACTGTAACATACACTTTCTTGCAAGTGTAAAGAAATGTTGTTGTCACTTTTTCTAGGAGCAGCAACTGTACTACAGAGAAATTACAGAGGCCTGTGTGGGCTCATGTGAATCCAGAAGAGCAGTAAGTACATATTATTCAGGTTTTATATTTTTCTGCCTACCCCCGTAATCAATAGAGAATCCATTTACATATACTCGAGTTATCCTGTTCACAATAAAAACGACAAACACAAAAGGTCCACTGCAATAACGTAGGGACCCCACCCATGAGGCCCATCTTTTAACTTGACCTTGGTCTCCCCAACGGTAACCTGCCTGCCAAAAATCATGAACATTGAACCATGTCTTCAAGAGTTATGCCGCAGTCTCCCACACTATAGCAAAGTGATTTCTTAGCCTTCTTGACAAAGACAATTATGAGTATGGATTCTCTGTCCTTTCTTTAGCCCTACATGTTTATCCTGGTCCTATCCCAAAGATCATTTGTCCAAAACAAAGCCTGACATCTGCAGTTTTGTTGTTCTTTCCTAGGAGGCGCTTCAGAGTCTGGCCACAGATCCTGGCCTTCATCAGATGATTCCCAGGTTCAGCACATTTGTTTGTGAAGGGGTGAGTGAAGTGATGCAACTTATCATTCAAATTAATGATATGTATCATTTTTATTTTGTAGTTCAAGATGTATACATATTGGTATCACCTACAGGGAGATTTCATAAAGAGATATGAGGATATACACATAGTATAAATGTACATAAATATAAACTCCCTGGCACTTTTGATCAATTGCTTACGTCACGTATCAGTAAAGTCTCGTGTGAATAAGGTCACATGTTTGTAACCCGAAACTCTCGCGAGATTATGTTGTGAAGTGATTGGTCATTAATTATCCTGATGAAGGCGACAGTGGTCGTCGAAAATTTGATCGCTCTGTAACTCTTGTGTAACTCTTGTGTTGGAATAAAGTTCAATGTTTTTACTATGGCTAAATTCTTGTTTCCCTTGCCAGGTACGTGTGAATGTGGTGCAGAGTAACCTGGCTCTGCTCATCTATCTGATGAGGATGGTCAAGGCACTGATGGACAACACCACGCTACATCTGGAGAAATATGTAAGTAAGAGAGCTGCACTTTTGAGTCACTCTACTAGGGGGCGCAAGTGACGTACTATCGAAAGACAAAGTTAGCATTTGGAAGACGGTCCAGTCATAATTGTCCAGACAAGGGTAGCAGAAGGGCTTCCAACTCCAAGATGTTGGCAGGTACAAATGTAAACCTTTTTGGTTATGCAACAAAGACCTGTATTATTCAAGATTGGCTTAACCTTTATTCAACTGAAAGAGCCGTTTAGCTACCAATGCTCTATTGGTTATGGGGTTAGGTAGCAGGGTAGCAGATAGAAGGTTATAAGCATGAAAGTTCATCTGTGTTGGTATACTTCATTATGATGAAAAGGCTAAATGTTATGTCCTACACTAAGTAAATTGGGACTTACCCAAATTTTTGGCCAACTCTGTCAGCCCTGTTAACGGAATGGACCCATCTACTGCAGCTTCCGGGACGTGACTTCAGAAACACATGTCAGATAACCTGTGTTGCCCCGGTCTCTGTTCAGTGTTGCATGGTTGGCCCAAATGTACACTGCCTCCTTTACTCCTTTAGAATGTTATAAGCTTTAGGTCCAGGAACAAGCTGTATTAGTACTACATTAGTCCCTAACATGAGTGTGTGTGTTCTGATAGCAAAGTTGGTTTAGACTTAGAGGCTGCAAGGAGGAAAACATACCACATTTGCTGGCATTCGTGCTCATTAACTGATGTATTTTGCAGCTGCATGAGGTGATTCCAGCTGTAGCCACCTGCATCCTGAGTAAACAGCTGTGTCAGCGGCCTGATGTGGACAACCACTGGGCTCTGCGCGACTTCGCAGCTAGACTTATGGGCAACATGTGCAGGTTAGAAGTTTGAGAGAAAAATAACAGACACTTTAGATCCCAGTGGAGGCCAGAAAGTGTTTTGAACAGCCAATCTCTCCATATATATGGCTGTTTTGTTTACTCCCTTTTGAAAATACATGTAACGTTTGTTGGCTTATTGGTTAGTTCTTTTGTATTTTGTATCGAATGTAGATTAAATGTTGCTTGACTTATGATAGAGCTGAAACATTTTTTTATCCCCCACAGAAATTTCAGTTCCAACATCAACAACATCCAGTCACGTATGACAAAGACTTACACAAAGGTACGCAAGAAAACAACTCCTCTAATCATAATGGAAATTTGCTGTCAATGTTTTAGGATATTCATCTTGATATCATAGTAACTTAGTGAACAAGGAATTGAAGACAAGTCTATAACATTATTTGAAGTGAGAACTCACAGTACATGCTGCATTTTCAGATTTTACATGATGAGCACAGTCATCTGGCGACGAGATATGGGGCCTTGGCAGGACTAGCAGAAATGGGGCATGACGTAAGTTTGACTTTCTTTCCAGTGTTAGGCCTAGGGAAAAAAATGTTGTTTCCACATTATTTCCACCTGAGTGAAGTGAGGAAAGTCATGTAAAGTGCCTTTTCCAAGGGCACAAGATTGGTGGCATCAGGTAGGATTTGAACCCGGGACCTCTTGGGTCTAAGCCGAACACTACCATTACGCCACACGACCCCACTCTTTGCAGGATCACGAAATACTTCTGTAATAATACTCAAGTATTTTCCACTTTCTCCCAAACATCACACACAGGTGGTGAAGTCCCTCCTGATCCCTAAGCTGAAGGAGGAAGGAGAGAAAGTGAAGACGTTGATGGAAGGACCGGTGCACAACTCTGTGGATAAGACTGCAGCAGAACACATTCGGGCACTGCTGTTGGTAGGTGGTATCCCTGTGGTGTAGTGTTTAGGGATCCTCATTCTAGACCTGAAGGTTATGAGCTGCAGTCCCACACAGAGCATTGGTTTTGGCTTGTTTTAACATTTTTTTGAAAGAGGAATTTGGTAACAGGTTACATGTACATGTACTTCAAATGTTTAAAATCACTGTGAATGCTCACAGAACTTGTGAGAGAATATCTTGTAATTGTCATGTAATTGTAAAAAAATAAGTAGATATGTTGTAAAATGTTCTATTTCAATTTGTTCAAGAGTTTTGTTGTACTTATTTTATCAGACTTAAAGCAATATTATGTCAGATTTTCACTGTTTTAAACATCATTATTTTACACATTTTCTTGCACTATAAGTCTACCTGGGTTCATAACGTCACATTTGAGGAGTAAAGGATCAACTTTGTTTAGCCACAAAAACATGTTGGAAGCTGCAGAAGATACCCAAACGAAAGTCCTGTTTGTTTACATAATTTATCATAAAAATTATTGGAAATGACAATCTAGATGAGAAAATTTCAATTATTTTTGGGGCAAAATCTTACATAATTTTGCTTTTATTTCAGGGGCTCAATAGTTTTTCATTGATATCTGTCATGTGTGATTACTAGTACATCTAAACTCCTCAGGAGTTGCCAAAAGTATAGTCATGACAGTCACAATAAACTTGTGCTGTTTCAGAAACACTGTGCCCCAGTCTTAGCCAAGATCCGACCTGGTCCAGACAACCAGGAACAGTACAAGACAGACTTTGGTTACCTGGGTCCACACCTGTGTGCACACGTGGTGAAGGCACGTCAACAACAACAACAACAACAGCTTCAAGCTACAACAACAACAGCAGCGGCCAGTGTTGTACAGAGACCAACCTTACAGATACCACAGGTAAGGGTCTTAGCTGGGAAGTTCATCTGTGTTGGCAGAATTCATTTTGAAGAGGGATATTTAAACTGCATTTTCAAACAAAAAGACTTGGATTTAATCAAATTTTCGACTATATGACACAGCTCATCCTTACCCAAAACTGATGTCATACAGTCTACAATTCTTTAATATAATAATGATAAATGCTTTAATGGTCAAACATTACCCGTGTAATCGCAGCCTTTTATAGTGCTGAATTGTTGCATGGTTTACAATCACATAATACACATGATACATATAACATGTTTGCTCCGCACACACTTTTACTGGAACTGCCGCAAGGGTCTGTGCGGCTGCCATTCGGCACCACAAGGTGACCTTAATACGACTTTCCCCAACCAATAGTTAGGTACCCATTCACACCTGGGTGGAGTGAGGAAAGTCGTGTAAAGACTACTTAAGTGCCTTTCCAAAGTGCAAAATGTCGGGGCGCATGTCCACTGTCCAGACATGTCCCGGGTACAACTCGAATCGAACCTGATCTCACCATTTCGTACCACTACACCACCCGACACCACTTTGTGTTGAAAATTACAGCCAAAATATCCTTCTTTATAAGTAAGTCATTGTTTTTACACTGGATTTGAGCATACTTTCTGGGAAAAACATTTGTGTTCTAATACTAATTCTATTTTTTGGGGGCAAAAGTTTATTTAAAACAAAAATCAAATCCCTATTTAAAACAAAAAGATAAATCAGATATCAAGTTACAGGAATAGTACATTAATAACATGTATTCATGGTTTTTAGGTGCCCTTTTATGTTTACCGAAGGAAAACATATTGTTTTTGCTACGTTTCCTCTTCTTCTTCAAACCAAAAGGGTCAATGACCTGAACCAGACTGTCTGTTACCATGGTAACTAGTGTTGGGTTATATCATGTTACAATTTTTTACTTTTACAATCCCAGTATATTCTAGATAACTTTGGCCACTTTTTCCTTACTTTAATTATGTACCAATTTTTGTTCAACTTACAGAAATCAGATTGGGTAAGTTGTTCACTTTTTACGTTGCCAAAAAATTCCCACAGCTGCTTCAAGACTCGCTGTACTTCATGAATCCAAAGTGATCAGGACTTGATTGTCGTTGTGTCATCACAAGAGCAATGTCACCCAATGAAAATTGCTTTTGCAAAACGTCGCTATTTTGCAAATGCACAAAGCTTTATGTAACAGCCATAGGGATAGGCTTACCTTTCCTCTGCCAAACCTGTTTTCCTAACCTGTATTTTAGTATATCGTTTTACAGAATTTTTTTTTCTTCCTTACAAGGCCATGTTGATTTGATTATATGGATGACATCCTCTGAGAACCCCAAAACTGACGCGAGCGTGCTAATAAAAAGTCTGGCGAAAAAAAAAGTTGCCTTCATTATGAATTCTACATGGTCATGAAGGTTGAACAAATGACTTAACACATAAGAGTATGGTTTGGTGAATAACAGAGTCTTTTTTTCCATTTCTTCGCATTTTCTTCTTCTTTGGAATTGATTTTGGCATACTTACAACATTAGTATTGTTTTCCAATATTTTTTTGTACTGTACGGCATATATTTGCTCATTTTTCAGCTGCTTTGTATGATTTACAGATGGTCGAAAACTTTTTTCTTAAAATGGACAAAAATTCATGCGTGCGGATGTCATCCATATAATCAAATCAACATGGCCTAATATCAATAGAACACACCAATGACATGCATTCTTGGTGCAGTATGCTTGTACTAAGTAGATGTGTTTCTGTTTTTTTTCCAGGGGCGTGCGTCCGCAGTCCTGAGCGCCATGGCGGCACCCCGTACTCCAACCCCCCAGGCCACCACCCCCTCCGTCCTCACCATCTCCCGACCCTCCACCCCTGCTAACCCCCCCTCTACCCCCACCACTCCAACCCCAGGTACCCCCAACCCTCAGACAAAATACATCATTGTTTCAACAACAAAGGTATTTGTTATATCTCCGTTATGTTCTGCACTGCACTGAAAAGGAGCTTCTAAAATCGCACTGCATGGCTTGCATGACTCTAGAGTGTTAGCCTCCACCAGGCCTTTCTACGGAAATACGGATCATAGAATTCGGCAAAAAAGAGAGTAAAATTGGCCAAACGCGGCCCAGTCAAACCTACAAGGCGGCCAAACTCCACCGGCAAATATTCTCCTATATATAGCCAGCGTAGTTACTAGTAGTCTGCTAGAGACTACTAGGGTGTGCTCTGTAACCTGCATGCTGTCTTGTAATAATGCATGTGCAGCTTCAGCTGAATTTCTTTCACTTCTTTGCACATAGTGGTAAGGCCACACCAATTTAATTTGTGGGTTCTCGGATTTTGTCAGAAAAAATATGAAGTGACACGGCGAAAAAAATAAAAACAGACCTAGGCATCCTATGATAGTCCCAAATGCTATGATAAGAGCCATGAAGTCAACATACCAAGCTGGTTTGTAATTCAAACAATGAATTTAGAACTATTAATCAAACCACTGCATTGGTAGATGGAAAAACTGTAACAAGTCTGAAGAGAAGGGACTTTCTTTAACCGTTGGGACTGAAATATGAGCATTTTGGAGTTGATTCAGAGCCTGAATTTTTTTTTTTTTTTGCAATCCAGGAAGAAAGGGAACAGGCGAATCTGAGAATCAACAAATTAAATTGCTGTGGCCTAGTGTATTGAAACATAAAGCATTTTTAACTTGAAACATCAAAAATACTGATGCCATAATATTGATGCTGAATGCTGTATTGTATTGTAGTGTCATTGTTGCACTAAAGCCTACCAACTATAGTGGCACCATTACTACAAAGTACAATGCTTAGAGATACGCATGCCGAAGCTAAGTGAAGCTGTGTCAGTGTGCCTGCAAAACTGATGCGTTATGCTCAGGAAGGACAGTAAACATATTTTTTTACGGGAACAGAAACAGAACAGTTGAACCATGAATGTTTTTCTTTCTGCAGGCGTCTACTTCTACTACTCTCCCTTCTACAAGTACCATTTCTAGCAGTGGACTGGCTTCCAGTAGTTCGTCAGCTGCTTCTACGATTGTGAAGTTCGTCTCCGCGGCCCAGGGAAGCGCGAGCGGGGGAAGCGAGCCACGAGTTCTCGCCCAGTTACCTTCCGGACAAAAATACGTGGTGGTTTCGGTTCCGTCTTCCGGCCAGACCACCACGACATCGCAGGGGAAGACACAAGCCGTGGTGGTGATGAAATCTGAGGGTCAGGGGTCACAGGGTCAAGGGTCAACTGTGGGGATAACCTCTGCGGCGGGGACCCTGGCACAGTTAGCGACCAGTTCAAGTCAGGAGGGCACGAAATCGTCGTCTGGAACCATTTCCAAACCCAACTCTTAATTTTTATTATCAACCTACAAGTGACACTGTAAAAATTGTGCAAGTATGAAACTGTTTATTTTCTGTTAGGTCCAACAGATTACGTCACTTACACTGACACTGTTTTCTGTCATAAAACTGTTTTGCTTGTATGAGGTACATGTATGAAAAGGGTTGACTTGAAGAAACAGTATGACGATTTTACAATACGGAATTCTGGTTGATATTTTGACAATATTTGGAGGTATTATTGTATGCTTGGCAATGCTAAGTTCTACAACACTCATTAATGTCATAAGAAAGGAATTCGTTTTCAAATTTGCATAAGGTAAGGTCTACTTATCAAGCTCTCCCTACTTTTTACAGTTTAATTTGCTTATACATACATGTACATGTATTACAGTTAGTTATCCATGTACGTTATATAAAAGATTAAGCAGCTGTGATCTAACTATTGAGGAATATACTTGTATATGAATACCTATATGTGCAGTTGTGAGACCTTTGTCATTTTTTCCATTCAAACAAGGAACAGATTAAGTAAGCTATTTTGACCCTATCCTAGCTTTCAATTTTAGTACATGCATGTTTTGGTCCTTAAAAATTTGTATGTTTACCTCAGCTTCCTCTTCTCCAAACACATAAGGTCAATGACCTGAACCAGACGTCTGTCACCATGGTAACAGGTGTTGGGTTACATATCATCATGTTGCAATTGTATAGCAGGAGTGATTTAGATTCCTGTCAGCACCATATATAGGAATGTGTTTGAGTAAGAAATAACAAATCAGACCATATACAAAGGTAAACAGAATGCATTTGCTTTGAAATGTTGCCTTTGTAGTTAACTTTGTAATTGCAAAATTCTAACTATTTAAACCCCATGATTCACAGCCAAAGTGTCCCAACTGACTGTGCCGAGTACACCAGCTGTTTTCTGGAAGCGGAGAGAGAAGCAGTTTTTCGTCGCCAGCGATTTTTCCTGCTTCTCCTCTGTAGTACGGGCGGTTTGAACTCGTCAGTGTTGTCGTTGAAATCTTTCTTCAGAACAGTTTTCCTGAAGAAAGTTCTTCCTTTGTCACAAATGTCGTCAAATTTCCCAGAAAGCTTTTCGATGGGTGTTCCCTCAGATATGTCAACCACCTTGCTGTTCTGAAAATCTCCAAATTTGTCCAGTTCTATGATGAGTTTTTCTGAGAAGCGGACTTGTTTCTTCGGAGTTGACTGAGGATTCGCTGCACACCTTAAAGAGGATCTCAAAGGAACTTCATCACTTCCCTCGCCTGTTCCTTTGATGCAAATGATTTCATTCATGTCTGCAAGTGTTTCAGTAACTGTCTTGTTTTGCTGACTGTATGGCAACATGAAGATATCATTGTCACTTGCCTGTCCAGAATGTTCTGCCAAGGTGCTGTCATATCCATTGTCTGTTGTTTGAGATGATGGCAGTGATATCAAGAAGGAAGAGTCCCTTCCGTGACCATCTAAGGTGTCAAGAAAGTGTTCTTGAGACTTCAGTAGCCTTTCTTCTGTCTCTTTGAAATGCTTCTCAAGTTTTGGGACCAAGGCTTCAAGATCAGACTGTTCTGTGGACTTATCAGTTATTCGAAAGTCTTCATTAACCACTTCAAAGTGTTCCTGAGACTTCAGTAGCTTTTCGTCTGTCTCCTTGAGATGATTTTCAAGTTCTGGGACCAAGGCTTCAAGATCAGAAGGTTCTGTGGTGTTACGAGCTTCTTGAAAGTCTTCGTGAACTACTTGAACAAGTTCCTGAGTTGTGTGGTTGGTCTGTCCCTCAGTGACGTCATGTGTGGCGTCATTCAGTTCACGTGACTGCCACGTGTCCTGAGGGCATGTCTTCTCGACATCGTCCGATAAATATTCCGCTGTAGGAATCTCGATTGTTATGAGTGTGCAATTGTCTGTATTAGCAGTTTCTTGTATTTCTGACTTGTGAACATTGATACTTGCAGGTGCACACGGTAGATGGTTAGTACTGAGAGTGGACTCTGAGTGACGACCAGTTTCGTCAAAATCTTCGCACGGAAATTCTTCAGTGTCTTCATCACACAGTATAAAGAACGCCTCTTCTTCATCGTACAGAAATGTTTCTGTGTAGTCATGGATTGTTGCGAGAAAAACTCCCATCGTTGCTGTAGTGGTAGTAAACTCTTGGTCAACCTGAGATGTTTCTATTCCTCGTGCTTCTGCTTGAAATGCGTTTACGGAAACGTCGCTTCTCCTTTTCTCTTCTAAGTTGATTTCATCGTGTTTTTCATGGAAATAATTTTCCCTTTCCGCACATGTGAGTGCGCTCGCTTCAAATGGTTCCGTTGTATCGTCGAAAAGCAAGTCGCACGCCTCTTCCGAAGCTGAAAGCCACTCAACCTGCAGAGGACGTATCATTCCGCTAGGATCGCTTCTTGGCGATGACCTTGTCTCTGTTACTGTGTGCTGCCCGCATATCGTGTTTGTCTTGATGTACATACCGCGTCAAGGTGAAAGACCTAGTAAAATTCAACAATAGAGACTTTGAGATTTTTGTCAAGAATCACGATAAAGAATTTCGACTAAAATACAGACACTCTGAGTCTGGTATGGTCGCCTATGGAATGGTCATTTGCATGTTTCAACGGAGTGCAGCTTTTGGTTTTTACTGAATGAATGAATGTGTGGCTGTAATACAACAATACTACTACTACAAAACTAAAGTATCTTACAGTAATTACTACAAACAACTATTGATAACAATATATGAGTTACAATAGCGGCCATGTATTGATGGTTTGGTCTCGCTTATGGAATGAGGTACATGTACTAGTATACAGAAATTGACCTATGTAGGCAGATATGGGAGTTGGACACGACAACGATATAAGGAATGTATCGTTCTGTGTGCCAGATAGGGTGAACTTTGGTTGTCTTGGTCGTAAGACTTTTTTTTACTCGAAATAAGGCCCTCAGGCGGCACGTGTTGACCCGCAAGACCTTAAACATGCCTCCATGCTACATTCACTCTGCCCACAGTAGCTTTAGCTTTGTATATTGTCCTTTTTCCTGATTTTAAACCGAATTCCTCACTACATATTCATGCATAATGCACATTTGCTCTATGGTGTAGGTAATGGGCGATGGGTTGTTACTTTGTTTTGAATGACCCTGAGTTAAACCATGCATGGTGTGCTGTGCCCTAACCTTGACTCAGGACACCCTTGCATTCTCTTCTTTCTCACATTCTTGCGCTTTGCTGCACAGAAGAATCTCCATATTTTTACATTCTCCCCCAAATTTGGTCAAAACATTGCAATTTATATTCCTTGCCCTCTTCTAGGATCACACTACTAGTATACAGTACGTTGAGTTAAGTCCTGAATATCCCACCCCTATGTCCTAATCATGCTTGTGTTTACGTGCGACTAAATGACAATTCGAGCGTATCCTTACCTTCAACTGGGTGCAACTGGTCAGAAATAAGTCGCCAGGGACATCTTCGATTCGTCAGGGTTCTGGATAAAGATTTTCTTCCAATATTCCTAGTGTACAACTGAGAGCTACAGAGATCTGTGTGCTTCCAACCAAGCTCTTAAACTGGCTCTGGGTATTTAAATCTGCCCTCGAAAAACAGACGCGGACGGTTAAAAACTTGTCTGACAACTTTTTGATGACCCGTAATGACCTGCCCCCGAAGGCAAACTTTCTGAAAACATACATGTCCGCTTACCGTAAAGTCAACGTATGGTTGTAAGTTTGCAACTAGGTCCGCCTTGATCCGAACTGAAAAATGTAGTCGACGATTTGAGCGTTTTTTTTGTGGGGCTGACGCTTTTCATAGGCTTTTACGTAATATACCTGGAGGGTATACTAGAAACAAGTCAAGCTGTTATAGATTCTGAGAAGCCTTTCTTTGTATATATCGTGTGACGTCACATTCAGTAGCCTCATTTGCAGGCCTCCGGGCGGGTGGGAGTTTTGATAGCCTCTATACAGGCTTCGGGACTCGGGCGGCTGGAAAGAGTAGAAAGCGGCCAAATAGAGAGATAACATGCCAGGGGAGTTTGTCTGCTGGTAGAGAACATTTTGCCGGGTGCTAATCTTTCCAGCCGCCTCCAGAAGCCTGGTAGAGGCTAGGAGTTTTGATCATACTGCGTTTTGTAAACTTTTTAACGCGTTCGATCCTTTGCCGGCCATCCTACAACCAACCGCCCACAGAAGGTTTGCACCTGCCATGGATCGCAGTATCAAAACTCCCACCCGCCCGGAGGCCTGCACAGGAGGCTAACATTCGGATTGCATTGCGATGTGTTCCATTTTCTTTGCATCATTTTCTGTCACATATTTCAAAATGTTCACCATATAAAATATACTCTTATTTTTATTTCTAGAAATTCTACATGAACATTTGCTGTATATACACAGGAGAGGAGGAATTAAAAGAAACGCGGAGAGCAACAAGGGACAGATATATGCACAATGTAGTGATCTAAAATGAACTGACATGCTCACACACTGCCTCCTTGTGATGTTGGAAGGAAGAACACCCTGGTTATACCTAACTTGTATTTACATGTGACTAAATGTAACCTTCCTGTATCCCCTGAAACATCTGTTTTGTTGTTACTTTGCCCTTTGATCATGATTTTGGTAACGTAGTTCACGTTTTTGTTTTGAAATCCTGCTATTCCTATATGACCTGCCAATACACAAAGAACTCAAGACCTCTGCCCAAAATACCGCAACAGCCGAACGCTTTGAAAGGCTTGTGTTCAACACCGAAACCCGCGCTCAACAAAGAGTCTGTGACTGCTTTTTACATTTCCGAAACTGCGTCAGAAGTACAACGCTAGCTTTCCCAGATGGTCTGTTCAGTTCCCACATGTTTCACTTCAACCAAAGGGGCGAAGCAAAGGCTGCTAGGACAACTCACCCGGCAAGTAAAGCAAAGAAGCTTCAAATTCCGGCTGGATTGTTTTTGCTCTGTTTTCTCTTCTTCTTCTCCAAACCAATGGGGTCAATGACCTGAACCAGACGTCTGTCACCATGGTAACTAGTGTTGGGGTTTCATCATGTTACAAATTTATAGCAGGGGGATTTAGACGCCTGTCACCATATATGAATGTGTTTGAGTAAGAATTAAAGGCATCCAGTGCAGTTTTAAGGGCTTGGAAACCATACTTTTCAAAGTCAATATTCTAGTCACTTATCTACATACTAAGTTGAAACAACACGGTCCCAATGCGTATTGACATTCATAGAACAAAAATGCCCAAAATTCTGATGAAAAGTGGTTACTGGAAGGACCTGGATCGATTTTTAGGGTACCACCCAAAAAATAGATGACTAATCTTGGGGCTTGTTTGTGCAGCTTAAAGTGTTTGCAGCTTAAAGTATGAAATATTGACAGGTTGACTTATTCAGAATATTTCCAGTTTTGCCGCCCTGAAATTGCATGGGATGCCTTACACGGAGCAGACCATATGCGAAGGTAAATACATTATGCATTTGCCTTGCAAATGTTACTTTTTCTAGTACAATGTGTCTGTAATGCTCTAGCATATCTGGCTAGTAAGCAATGTTCTCTCGGTCATCCATGGAATTAGCTCAAGTCAGCTTGGCTTCAGAGTTGGGTTAGCGGGCACTGATATCTCATTACATCACAATGTCCTCTCGGTCAACTGTTGAATTGTCTAATGCGCGGATCTCAGTAAATACTGTCCATACGGTTATCTGTGGGATTGGCAAGTATCAAACTTCAGATCAGCATGACTTGCCCTGATGATAGCTACATGGTAATGTTCTTTAGGACACTGACCCTAAGCCCCCATGACACAGCTCTTCTTTCCAACACCCGTATTACATAACCATACCCCAACTACATGAGAGAAATGCTCATAATTAAAGGTCTGAGAGTCATTTTCTTTAACTTAGCGATAAGATTTAAAGGAATCAAATGTAAATTTTCGGGCTTGGAAACCCGATTTTTCAAAGTCAATATTCTAGTCACTAATGTACATACTGAGTTCAAACCACAGTATCCCAATCTATATTGACCCTCATGGAGAAAAAAATACCAAAAATTCTGACGAAAATGGTTACTGGAAGGGCCCTTGGCTGATTTTTAGGGTACCACTCACAAGGGAGGACTCATCTTGGGGCTTCTGCAGCTTTAAATACCCAAAGTATGAAATACTGATTGAAATGTGCTAATGTGAAGCAGTACGTGTCAATATCATTAAGATTACCTTATTCAGAATAATTACATTTTTTCTGCTGCTCTGAAATCAACGAAGTCAAGGGATAGGGGAGGTGTGAAATGCACTTCACAAGATCATCATTGCAAAATGGACGTACGTGTCACTTCGTATTCAAAATATTTCATCTATTTTGTGATCAGCTGACATGCAATTTACGACACAGACGAAAAACAGGCACTCTGTCAGTATGTTATCCGAATGGCGTGCCATGTTTACTGCAGTTGGGAAGTGTGGTACGCTTTGGTTTACATTCCACGTCACTGTTGTACAACACAGCCCGGAATTAATGGTCCACTTACCACAGGTCAGGTAACATCTCCTAATGCCTATGTAAACTGTGCTGTCATTGGGTATTTAGACGTTTCAAAGTTACAATGTTGTGTTAGACAGTCAGTTACACTGCGATATGCCCTCCCCACGTATTTGGCATTTTAACTTTCCATCGTTTTGTCACAAAGAAATTTAGAAAGAACCGTAGTTGTACTAAATATTGATACCTGGGTACAAAAGAGAATACTAGCTAGCTTTTAATTAGGCTATTAGGTTATTCTCTAATAACTACGGGTAATTAGTATATGTTGTAGATATCGATTTGTGCAAACGTACATTTGTAGCTTTGACCATTATACACATGAAATCATACTTGTATTGCAGTTATTTGTACTGTGCTGTATTATAAATTAAAAGATAATTATATTTGTGGCAATAAAATATGAAGACATCATCCATATGGGCCATAAATATTCATAACCCTTTTGTACCCAGGTATCAATACAACTACAGTTATTTCTAAATTTCTTTGTGACAAAGCGATGGAAAGTTAAAATGTCAAATTAGCCAGTGAGGAAACCTTAAACGTTTCAAAGTTAAATGTTGCATGTGTTTAGACAGTTACACTGCGATATGCCCTCCCAACGTAGGTATCTAGGCCCTTGTATCAATTCCCAGTGAACCGATATTTGAGTCACTGTCACGAATATTGCGTCAGAAGTTCGGTTGAAGTGTAGAGGATGTCAGAAAAACCGCTACTGTTACATCAGCCATTTCCTCCACACACATGTACACATTGGAGTTTCTTCTTCAACATTCTGAAATAATATATATATATGACGAAATTCAATGTCAATCTAGACTAAACAACATGGAAACATGGTTATCTTCCAAATAGATAACACGTTGTTTTTTCAGTATAATAAGATACATGTTTCATCACAGTACGATTCGTCTGGTTAATATTGCAGATTAACTATTATATCGACGTCGGAGACCAAAACATGAAACTATTATACTCAGTGTACATGGTGCATTATATACATCGCAATTGTGTCAATATTTCTCTCCTGTCACAGCTGCAGTGTATATAAGTGCCAAGGGAAGGTGAACGTCCGTACGTGCGTTCGTCGGCTGACTAAATGGGACACCTCACATCAACTTGCCCTTAACACTTTCCACACCTGTAGTTACTTAGAGGAGTTTATGACTAGTTGTAACGTTACACCGGCCAATCACTTTGAAGATACCATTTCGGTTGTTACAATGCCACGGATCGTAATCTGTTACCTCGCTTTAGCTGCGTTTTCACAATAACTTTTTGTCAGCAACTGAAGTATCATTCAAGATGGCCGACGCTTCGAGTTCAATGACCGAGATGGCATCGACCTAGTGGAGAAATGTGATTTATAGCTGCATTGTGAAACAGGACGGTAGGAACATGTCGGCCCATGTGACACAACCAAAACCTTCCGGATATAAATATCTGATACGATCATGTGATACGCCTGCCGCCATTAGCCTGGTCAGGAGATAGCTGATCTCATCCTGGGTCGTACCAATGTAAATATAGGGATGAACAAGCTTAAGTTCATCCAAAGACAACGCAAAAGGACAACCAGTTACCGTACTCTCCAAGCAGAGGTTTGAGTTTTGGCTTATTTTTTGGTGTGTTTTTAGGCTTTTTCTATTGTTTTTTTTTTTTGCGCTGGAATTTTTAAAAAGGAACTTCCAGTGCATAAAAGAAAGACAAGAAACCCCGCGATAAAAAAGCCTAAAAACACGCCAAAAATAAGCCAAAACCCAAATTAAACCTTTGCTTAGAGCGTACAGTTTCCGGACGCAAGTAATGATATAGTCAAATACTAGTACTACGAAACAAACGAGCAGATCTAGAACAGAGAGGAGATTTTGGATGGCCACTATGGCAATGAAATCAAAGCAAAGTCAGTAGTTAAGACAAGCCAAGTTTATATGAGGCATCGATATCAAAGGCAATAGAAAGCATATTATAATCCCGGTACGAGGTCGGATATTGCAAAATAACAACCGGAACCGACAGAACAAGTAGAGGATCAACAAGTAGCATAATTATACCACCATTATGAACGGTTTATATGTAGGCCAGTGACCTGTCATAGCCGGGCCTTTTCATCTGTGTGAACTGTTGTAAGAATGGTATTTACTCTTGCAGTATAAAAGTTAATACTGACGGACGAACGACATAAAAGTTAATAGTAAACTACGAAGCGTTATATACGTGTCGAGTTTCAGACGATTTACAACCTGATAGTAAACGTTCATGGTCATATATAGATTGTATAAACTTTAATTCTAGTCTGTGGCCGCGGTTGGCTAAGTGTCAAATAAGAACTGGATACTACCCAAGACAGACGGGGGTTGACAAGTGTGCAGTTTTTTTTTTGCTAATTCAAAAGTTTTAGATTTTTACTTTTTTTTTATTTCAACAATACATAGTGGTGACGCACTCAAGCAATATGCTTAATTCACATCACCATTAGACATAGATAAGAATTACAAAACAATGTCACATGGGTAACGTCCGGGTAACAAAAAAGCTGCTTATTAAGATATTATAAATTAATACAGAACTATAAATCAGTCGTTTTACAGTTTGCTACCGCTGTATGACAACAATTGTATGAAACAGTTGCTTTTTATTTTTACGTGGCCGCGCGATTTCCACTATTGGCGTTCATACTTCCGCCATTCTAAAGATCTCATGTTATTTTTGACACGTAGTTTCCTCTGTATCTGTATCCCCTTGACATCGACATTGACCTTGATAAAGATATCGTCACAATCTGAAAGAGAGACTTCGCGTCAAAAATACCAGGAACGTACACTTTTTTACTGCCTAACTTAGGTACAGCGTTATTATATACACAACTCAACAGTAAATGATTTCAAAAGAAAATGTACGATTTATACAAGCCGTAACGTTAATGTCAACAGCGATTCTTTCATTTTTCTAGCGAGGGGGTGAACTGAAATTGTGTGTCCTCCAAACAAGCAAGTATTGTAATGTTTTATTATTTTCTAGGAACCGTCTACTCTCCAAGCATAGGTTGATGGGGGAAGGTATAGTTACCTTTCTATATATGGCCTTTTTTTGTCGCTACCCCCACCAACCTTCGGTATTTTTTTGCCACCCTAGGATCTGCTTGGAGATTAGGACCGTCCCGAAAGTGATATATTTATTTTACTATCTATAGAGTTAGATTAGTATAATTAGTGTCTCTTTATTGTTATACATTGTTTATGAAAGTAGACCAGATACTTAGTACAGTTAGTAGAACTGGTAGATGTCTTTAGCATCACCAACTATGTATGTATGTTAGTATCACCAACTATGTATGTATATTTTGTCATACGTTGTACCCGCTACATCTGTTGCGCAATAAAGTTCCTCTTCTTTAGCCATTGAATCCACCAGAGCCCCGCCCACCCCTACAAACGGGAAATCGTCTCGCCCAGCACCGTGTGGGGAAGCCAGTTGTACAACAGGTCTATTTAATAGTCAGGTTACCACGGTTCAACAATCAGACCTAGTCTGTAAAAGGCAAGAAGTCACAGAGACAATCGGTTTATTATTTGGCAGGCTACGGAGGTAAGAAGCACCGTCTACGTCTGGGGCTGTCGACTCGGGTATAAGACATCGCCGGGGTAGAGCGTCTTCGTCTTGGGGACAGGACCCTGGCGTCTTCGGGGCCATTCTTCTCGACTGAGGTGAGCTAGTTGTCTTCGTTAAGTGTTGTCTTTTAATTAAGTGGTGCTGTACGTAGATATATGGCTGTACACACTCGGTTGTAAATGTTACATCATGTGATACGTGTGTAAAAACACGTACAGAAAGCTAACTACAGCATTAGGAGCTAGTGTATGCTGCCACAGGCTGTAAATTGTTGTACTACAACGTACACCGGCACTTCGTGTCAAACAACACCCACCGCGGGTTGACTTGTGTAGCTGTCTTGTCGTCCTTGAAGAAAGGTGGCGTCTGTGGATCACATTTCACTGCCCTGGTCCTATGACATAGATCCTCGTAGGTCAGCAACACGCAGTCTAAACTCTATTTCAAGCTGTGACATACGAATGTAGTTTAGCAGTTCAAGGCTTAGTAGAACTTGTAGTACGGTAGTCGGCGTTCCATGTGGCATACACATGTACTAACCAGCCGGCCGGTACTGCTAATTCTGGACATGTTTGGTTTACAAGTGAAACTAGATTTGCGTCATGGCCGGTCGGTAACTCTGGGTTAACATAATATGATATAAAGGCGGTGTATTTTTTCTAGAAGGTCGGCGACGTCTTTGCAGACTGACATTTTGGCATGGGCTTGGTTTTTATCTTTTGGGCAAGTTGTCAAAACCCTTGAACTAGTGTGACTGACGAAAGCTAGTGGATGCTAGCCGAAACGTCTGACCGTTTCCAAGCATATCCAGTTGCTTGAGTAACTGCTTTGTGGCGTATCTTATTACATGGATGTCTAACCTTCATCGACGTAGTGTATACTGATCCTACGCTAACAAAACTCCCCCCTCGTATCATCTTGTACGCACCCGGAAGTACATGATACAACTTGTCTATATGCCCCCCCCCCGGCAATGTTTGGGAGGGGAGCGCCTTTGAGCAAAATAACATCACAGGTTGTTGTCTAAAGTTGATAGTATGTAACCAATAAGACCCCTTACACGTTAAACAGATCATTAGGATATTGATTGATTGTTTTATGTACTGTGTATTTGTTGTGTTACTTTTTATGTATATCTAGGATTACCTGAAAAGCAGGCCAAAATGGCCTGAGTTGTAATTACTGGTTAATAAAATAAATAAAGTGAAAATTGACGTTAAAATCATCTTCCTTGCATGTACTATGATGTATCATCATACATACCACCAGCAAGGGAATTTGAATGTATTATCTGTAAAGTGATCGCCAAAAAGCAGTTACTCAAGCAACTAGAGATGATTTTTGAAACGGTCAGACGTTTCAGCTAGTATCCACTAGCTTTCGTCATCGATCAGTGACTGGAAAGTGATCGTTTTCTCAAATACAATGTTTTCAATGTTCTGTTTTTGCCAGTAAATTGCATCTTTAAAGTTGATCCTAGCGAGGAGATGAAATGAGAGTATACATGTCCCTGTTTTATATGATTCTTTATTGACACAACAAAAAAGTACAGAGACTTTTGTATGGTCTTCTACAACTAAGAACATAGCCACGCATTCAAGTACCAGAGTTATCAACCAAGGATTGAGGTGTTCAAGAATTCATTCTTTCCTAGAACTATCGCAGAGTGGAACTCACTGTCACCAAGTACAGTAGGGGCACTGTCAATAGATAGCTTTAAACAATGTCTAGAGCTAGAAGTTCAAGGGTTAGGTGTAACAAGTCGATCGGTGTAATATAGCCAGCTGCCGGCGCGCCGCGTGCCTGCGAAGCTGGTGTGTTACGCCGAAAGGCGGTTATACCGGCTATACAGATACAGAACAAAGAGTATATTCTGCCTGAAGGGTTTAATGTTATGTAAAGTGACAGTAATATCTATTTTTGGCATGGTGTGATGAAACGTTGCCTTAAGGTACCTATTATACTTTCAATGACCCTTTTCCTTGTCCCATTTTCGTTCTTATGTAGACAAAGGGTAGACAGAGTCCCTTTGTTTACGCATTTGTCCTTCGGTGACCGAATCTGTGGAATTTTGAAGACATTCCAAGGGAGGTGGGCTTTTCAGTCACCGATGAAAGGTAGCAGATGCTATCTGAAACGTCTGACTCTTCAGAGAATGTGTTCAGTTGCTTAATTGATTCACGAGTTTCAGATTAGATGTACAAGACAAGCGAAAAGCGTCCATAAAGAAAACATGTGCATACACATAGTTAGACATAAATACAAGCCAACGTTAAAGGCATCCAAAGCGATTTCTGGGCAGCAAAATTTAAAATATTCATAATCTTTTGTACTGCTTCACATTAGCACATTTCAATCATTATTTCATACTTTGGGCATTTAAAATTGCAGAAACAAGCCCAACGATGAGCCCTTTATTTTTGGGTGGTACCCTAAAAATCAGCCCAGGGCCCTTCCAGTAACCATTTTCATCAGAAGTTTGGAAATTTTTGCTCCGCGAGGGCCAATATACACTGGGACAGTGTGGTTTCATCTCAGTATGTAGATAAATGACTAGAATATTGGCTTTGAAATCGGGTTTCCAAGCCCTAAAACTGTTTGTTTATTGAGATCTCCATTAGTATGGTAAATTCTATACTATTCTTCCTGGAGTCAAGCAACATAAAATAATAATAATTATTATTATTTTTAGCAAAAAATAAATAAATAATAAAATGAGTAAAACATATAAAACTGTGCTGAAATTATGACAAACCTGAAACAAAATCAGCAAAGAGAAATAAAAGTGCATAATGGAGGTCAGAGTTCAAATAATAGAAATAATATGTCTGAAATTGTCTGTAATATGTCTGTACTAATTGATGTACTTGTCCAATCAATGGAAAATCGAAGTAACAAAACTGTACTGGATGCCTTTGAAACCTCGAGTGAGGATGGATTGGTGGTACACTGTATCTACATGCCAGGCGTACTGACCGAGTCGTGACATGGACAGTATTTGGTATCAATGATGTAACGTCTGACAACAGCTGACACCCGTATGTAGGGTAAAGGGCAACCAGCGGAGTACATGTATGTGTGTCGGCAGGGGGTGAGTAGGTGGGGACATGATACAGTTGGATGGTGTCGAAAATGATGATGCAATTTTGAATGGCTCCTACATATGGGTTTCCTACTTCTGTCATTACACAGCTTTGGAAAAAAGTTTTCCCGCTGTCGTTCAAGTTGATGTATTTCATTAGCTGTTTTCATTAATTCTCAGGATTTGCCGACACCAAAATTGCAACCATTGAACAGAGTTAAAAGTCCTAGATCTGGGTCTAGATATCTGTTCCAAAACTAGACCACTCTTTCCTAGGGCAAGGACGTGATGGTAGAAATGCTTAGCATCTGGAGTTGTTCTGTTTATATGCTTAAAACTTTAGCTACACACACAAAGCCATGCATGCGTGGAGGTAGAAAAGAAACTAGAACCTCACGTAGTACACAGACAGTGCTACATGTGAAAGGTCACTGACCGTGCGTACAGTTCCCGGGTGCACCTGCATACATGTAGGTAGATCGTGCGGTTACCACTTGTGCTGTGAACCGAAAACACTATCCCAGGCCCCCACAAACACGTACACCAAACTTCATAGACAAAACCAGGGAGCAGAACACGATTCTCTTCCATAAGGCCGCACCATGTTAATTTTATGGATGACATCCTCTGAAGACCCCCAAACTAGTGCGCGCGGGCGAATAATAAAAATTCCGGCCAAAAATAAAAATGCAACTAAACCACAGGAATGCATGCAAAGCTGATATTGTGAATTTGCGGCAGCTGCAGCCGGCACATGCTAGCTTTTTGCGGAATTTGTAAATCGGCACTGTAGGTATGTACTGAGTTCTTGAGTCGTGGAGCTTCGGCAGCCTGGGTGCCTCCAGAGTTACCACTGGCTCCGTATTGTCGCTAACTACCATGGACTACCCAGGCCAGAGAACTCCAAATGATAAACTTACAAGTTTAAGTAGCACGACATCGGACCAAAAACAGGTTGCAACAGTATTTCTACATTTGTTTTTTCCCTTTTTGGAATGTCGCCAGCCAGACTGAAGAATAGAGTCGGTATTTTGATGTATACATTCCCAGCACGAAGCGCTGCACAGCACCATATATCAGACTGCCAGTCATCTAGTAAGAAGATTGACAGAGAATTGTCCCCCGGCCATGTTAACGCCCGCACGGGCAGAGGTGTAGTGTTACTAGAAGAGTTACTTAAAACGCACTTTGCAGGCAGAAGTTGGCAGACAAGACCTAGCTGCGGGGTGGTTCGTACCACTGTCAGTTTCGGGGCTGGCAAAAACGTAATCGTTCAGTTAGAAACGGACAGAGAAGTTTGGAGATCTTACGATTGGTTTTGTCCATCTGAGAGGAAGAGTTTCGAATTTTTCTGTGAGTATTGTGGCATGGACTTACATTTTACATTGTAGGTTGTATAAATGGCCTGATATGCTTTCTTAGCAGATATATATTGCAGATAGATCGAGTTAACACAAACTTTACGACATTAACAGTATTGAGTATTTTATGATATGCCTGGCACAGTGAGTTGGATTCCGACGTCGTAGTGTCTTGCACGATAGCTGGTCAACATCGGTAGTTAATATGTCGTATTTTGTATATGTTGAGTAATTGTTGAGTAGTTGCCGTTTTTTTGGTCTTTTTGTCTAAAATGTGCTAACTCATGCTGTTGTTACTGTCACTAGTGGTTGTAGTAGTTTAAAGTAATTTACTGGCGGTTTTGCCTCTACATTTTGTTCTCTTCGTGTTTGAAGTTAACCGTCCCAATGTCTGGTTGTTTCTTTCAATCCCACCAAAAATATACGTGGAATGAGACCGTGGAATCTGTTTTTTTTTATAGTCAGCAAATTGTACTCAAATTACTCGATGGCACGAAAGATCAGTGTATCAGACAATGCATAACCTTGTTTACGGATAAGGTAAAGCGCTTGACATAACGTCGCCCGAGGCATCATTTGTACTTTCAGTGACCCCGACCATTGCAGACCCTTCCCAAGTCAAATACTTTAGGTTATTGTCTCCGTTGGTTTATATATAGGCAGAATCTTCAAATGATTTCGTATTCTGCTACTAGTTGCATTAAGTATGCAAGTATGCAAAAATAAGTTTAATGTACGTCGAAATTTCCAAAACTTGTTCTTTGACAAGTAAAATGAATAGTAGAAAACAGCATAGGTAACTTACTACATATACGAGTAGCAGTCCCGTCGAAACGACAGCAACCATTATAGCAGCTTGTACTTAGTTTAGAAGAGTGACAAGTATACTTGGGTTTAGACACGCAAACCTTTGGTGACAAAACAGGGTCTACTACATGATGGTATAAACCATGAAACAGAAGACATCCGGGCGGGAGAAACTTCGTACTGAAGGGCCTATGACCTTACGGTCAGCAGAGAATCTTCGTAGTCGGTAGTGTCAGGCCACAGCAAGTAATTTTTATGGATCACATTAGCATGCCTGATTTTCGCCTGATTTTGGAAAAAACAAACAAGAAATTTTGTTGCCCTCTGACAGTGGTCAACATGCCGGAACGTTGCCTTTTACTTTTATGCAATGATGCATTTCATTCTTTTATATGTGATGTTCACAGAATCAAAATCATTCGCACAATGATTGAAACCTTTTATTTTCAAACTTGTTTCAGTGACAAATGGATGTTGTAATAGTTGGCATTAAACTTAGCACAATAAATGTCAAAATCTTAAAATGTAGGAATCTTTTTTTTTGCCCGCCTTGTTTTTTGTCGCTCTATCGCATTAGATGTGGAGTCTGCGGAGGATGTCATCCAAAAATTTACTTGCTGTGGCCTGATAAATGTAAAAAAAACCTCCTGTCCTGTCTTCGCATCTCATGACCCATGGTCTTTATAATCACATATATTTGGCAGAAAAATTAAGAAAGGTTTGAAGATCCGACAGCTTGATTTGATACCTGATACCCTCTTTGTTTTTCCTCCACAGAACTGTCCGCAGATTTTTCTCAATCATGACGAGAAGTTCGGAGGAGAACGGGGCCGTCACGAGCTCACCTGTGACCAGGGAAGACCAAAATGGGCACCGGACAGACCACCCGGCGAACGGCGGAACGGGAACACCTACTCAGACCAGCACGGCAGACCTGGTAGAGACACCACCTGTCGACTTCAAGGGGAAAAGCAAGGGTTCCAAATACAGCGAGTCCATGAAGATCCTTATTCCCTTTCGACCAACTAAAAAGTAAGTAATTTTCGTGATTTGCGTGACTTTCCTACTAGTAGAGCCAGGAAGCCGGGACCGATGATGAAACAGAAAGCGCAGAAACTACAGTAACTATGGTTCAGAAATGTGGTCATTACCTATTGTTTTTGGTGTGTGTGTGTGTGTGTGTGTGTGTGTGTGTGTGTGTGTGTGTGCGTTCGCGCGCGCTTGTGTGCGTGTGTCTGTCTGTCAGTCTTTGTGTGTGTGTATTTCTGCACATTTGTAGTCAGCATAACTTTCGGAACGCCTTTATGGATTGTGATGATGTTGGTAGGTCGCAGGAAGACAATGTCAAGGTCACATATGGGCCTCCTGGTGCCTGACCTAGGTACTGCAGCAGATGTTTTGTATCTTTTGTCCTGAGCATGCCATGGTCTTGGATTTTTTTGGTGACAGATAGCTTTTCCTGCCAGGAATACGTGGTGTGGGTTTGTCCCCCTAGTTCCTAAAGTATTTATGAATAATATTTAGCTCTCCGTGAAACCTGGTGCACAATTGAAGAATTCTTAGCGTTTTGGAAAGAATTCAACAAACTGCCGTCATTCTGCAGGGGGAAAACATTTCCCACGGACCACAGCGGTCTGTTCTCCAACATCTACTCGGGTTGGATGAACTCCATCGTGTGGAAGGCGACCAAGGGCAACCTGGAGGACTCCGACATCTACGACCTGGCCCCTAACGACTCTTCTGATTCAGCAAGTCAACGGTGAGCTTTGTGTAGATATGTTGTACGTTTGGGAATTCATCCATAGCAGCGACGCCTGTGCTGCCGTGCGATATAAACCAGTCGAAATTGCCCTGAGGAAGGTGACAGACGGTCACCGAAACGTCGGCTGAATAAAATACTTGCAATTGGTTGTGTAAAAAGAGTCTCTTTACTCAGTGACTTACCAACCCGATGAAACTAATCAAGGAGGTGAGCTTAATGTGTAGAAAAAATGCGTAGCCATTCCTATTTTTGACATGTAAATCGTATAATGTCGGGCTTTTCGTTAAAAACACAATTTTCTTGCAGTTCTTTGCCTTGTTTCTATTTTCTAATATTTAAGTTTTGGTTTCAGACCCCTGTATTTGTGCACAGATCCAGCTGAATTCCTTGTAGATTAAATCGCGGCGTTGTTGTAATGCATTATTGTTTGCAAAATCGTTTGCAGACTCTTGAGGCTGTGGGATGAAGAAGTTCGGAACAAGGGCATCGAGAAGGCCTCGTACTACAAGGTCATGGTCAGGTCCATCAGGACAAGATGGATCATGTCTTCAATCATCCTGTTCCTCTGCCTGATGTGCTCCTTCATCTCAGCGGTACGTTTCAGTGCGTTTTATACTCAAGGGGTATTTTTTCGTGTGGTCAGCAATCTTGCCTCTGGTCTACGAAGTTACGGTATATATAGGATATATAATTATACATATTTGTTTTTATACTTTTATAATTATATTTATAGAGTATATAAATCAGAGAGCTGCTGATCTACGCTGAGAGCACGCACTCTCATAGACAATTTGAAAGAGACATGACCCTCAGTCATCATCAGCGAGCGTGAACTTATTTCATTTTCTCAGCTTTTATAAGTTTTAAACATATACGATCTTGAGATAAAATGTTGAGCTTTATTCCCAAATTTGCAATGACCACTGACACTGTTGCCTTCGTCAAGATAATGAATGACCATAATCAATGTCATATATATCAGGGCACTCCAGCCATCACTTAACAGAGACGGTGGACGATATAAACTCCCTGGCACTTTTAAAAAAATTGCTGACGTCACGTATCCGTTAAGTCTCGTGTGAATAAGGTCACATGTCCGTAATCGTAACTCTCGCGAGATTACGTTTCGAAGTGATTACTTATCCTGATGAAGGCGGCAGTGACAGTGGTCATTGAAAATTTGATCTCTGTAAAACCTTGTGTTTGGAATAAGGTTCAACATTTTATTATGTGATTACTACCAACACAGAAGAACTTTCATGACGATCTTGCATATAACCACAGTCGGTGATCATCAGAGAGCTGCTGACCTACGCGGAGACGACGAACCCGAACGTCCGTGTGGGGATCGCGCTGGTGTGCGGCATGCTGTGTACGGAACTGTTCCGGGTCATGGCCATCAGTTTTGTCTTCGTGCTGAACTACCGGACAGGGGTCAGGCTCATGGGCGGGTCTCTATCACTCGTCTTCAACAAGATTCTCCGCCTGCGCAGTCTCAAGGACAAGTCTGTCGGAGAGGTTTGTCTGTCCTTATATTACCGTGGCCCACAACTACAGGTGTTTGCGCAGGCGACGTAGGCGTGTACTTGTGGGCTACGGTATTATATAGATTTCTTACTTCGACGTAACCCTATAGCTAACTCTAACCTTTTTTTCTATTTATTAAAGCACATAAAAGAAAGTACAAGACTGCGATGGTGACGCACTCAAGTTGATTACACTTATAATAAGCGCCGCCATCGAACATAAAACAATTTTAACATAAAGATATAACACTACATAAAGATAACACAGAAATGTACACAAACACAAAATACAAAGCAGGCATATTGGGGACAAATTAGATATAACTAAATGCGCTAACTCTAATCTTCAGAAAAATGATATTGATCAACAAATACATAATTGAATGATAAGCTTGGTTAGGAACAAAGTAAGTTGATACGCTTACTACATGCAATAAATTAATAATTTAGTATATCGAAGTAAATATTGAATGCTTGAATATCCGCTGTTTTTCGTCTTTTGTTTTATAAAAATTGTGCTGATTTTCTCTTCTTTGATTTGATAACGTCAGAAAAAAGTATTCTACATATAGGTAGAATTATCTTGGTGAATGATAACAATGTTTAAATACACATTGCAGTTGGTGAACCTCCTGTCCAATGACGGCATGCGTCTGTTCGAGTTTGTGGCCTATGGAAACTTCATCATCAACACACCTCTGTTGTTCATCCCTGGGATCATCTACACATGCGTCATCTTGGGGCCCTGGGCTCTGCTGGGGGTCTTCACCTTCATCCTGTTCCTACCGTTACAGGTGAGACAGGGAGGTTTTAAACCCCCTCGGTGAGACATGTTTTCCAGCCTCGTTTTCACGTAACCTCTCGTACATTCTCGCGCTCTAGGCTGAACCCTCGCGAGAGACAGAGTTCAAAATTGGAAACTGACTATTTCCCTTTTTATGTTATTTTGGTGGTAAGAAAAAGTACCGGACGACTGACAGTTTGGCATCAGCGTCCTTAATTTATATTTTTACTCTTTTTAACTCATAAATGTTTTAGATGATATATTCGTATATTACATCGACACATTTGTATTTTTTAAAGCTCTCCTCCTCATATTAAACACTCTATGCTGACTCTGTCTTTTTCAGGGTCTATTTGGCAAGATCGTGGCGGTAATCCGCCGGAAGTGCGTCCGTATCACCGACCGCCGCGTGCGCATGATGAGCGAGATGTTAACCAGTGTAAAACTGATCAAGATGTACGCGTGGGAGCGGCCTTTCGCCAAGACAATCAGCGGTGAGTTGAGCTCGATCTTCACAATATCGGTAATAGATATATAACCATTGGAGCAAGGATGTTTAAATTGGAGAGAAGATGTTGAACACACGAAAGATTTATTTGCACATATACAACGAAATAGGGCATCGGAGAGGCCCCGCGAAAGCGGAGGGTACGTGCAGCCCCTGGCGCTTCGACCCGCACGCCGGCCGGGCGAGAGGGCGGGCGATGTCCTTGGTGCTGAAATGGGAGGTCCCCGAGAAAGACGTCCGGCGTACCACGTGTGGGGCCGGAGCAACAGTTATCAAATAATAAAAATGGACAAATATGCCAGGGGAGACCTGAAACCTTAGTGTTTTTTCACGGGCCTACCCCAAACGAAATAGTAAATAATAGTAATTACATTATCAAGAAATCAAATCATGATACAGAAAATACATAATCTAGTTACTTAAACATACGAAATAAAATTAAACAATCCGTGTTCAAACTAGTGGCGTTATCCGCACTTTCGAAAAGGAAAAGAGGTACGCCCCAGTGTGCATTAATTAGGCCGAGGCAAGGAACAAGAAAAGAATAGGTGACTAGTACTACTGGCTATACCGGTCATACAGATAAGAGTATTGATGTCGTGTGTTCAGGTATCCGTGCGCAGGAGAGGAAGATGCTGGAGACAGCAGGGTTTGTCCAGGCTATGAGCTTTGCTGTCACCCCGGCTGTACCTGTCATCGCAGCCGTGCTGTCCTTCATCGGACACACGCTGTCCGGAAATAACCTCACTCCTGCACAGGTAGGCTTCATCTTTATGCCTTCGCATAGAAGCTTGTGTTTTCGATAGCTATTGTTTGTTTCGATGTTAAACTTTGTGATTTAGCACGATAACTCAATAAGATATGTATGGATTGTCATGAAATTCGGTAGGTGGATAAGTCTTAACTTATCAAAGAAATGATTACATTCTGGACCCCTTGGCGGCTTTCCTTCGTACTGCAGCAGAGTAGAGGTCACGATGAATTCGTGCACAGCGATCATCCATTAAGTCAAGTTGGTGTAGTCTTACCTTTATACATTGCTTAATGGACCGATCCCGAATGTCCATCACAATTAGAAGTCCAACGAATGAGAGAATGGCAATTATCGGTTCGACCAATGAGAGAGTGGCAGCACGTCCGTAAAATATTTGCTATTTCTATGTTTTGACGGTCCATTGTGCCGTTCTATTTACCAGGCGTTCACCGTAGTTTCCGTGTTCAATTCCCTGCGGTTTGGTCTGGCGCTGCTGCCATTCGCCGTGAGAGCGCTAGGGGAGAGTGCAATTGCCGCCGCAAGAATAAAGGTAACCATTCAGCTGATGTATACGTGGTAACAAAAGTGTGGTGGTTTATACAGGGCACTATATGGATGGTACTGTATGTGCAACCCATAAATATATATATATGGGTACCCGTAAGAGTCCTAGAGACTTTGTATTTCGTAATCTTTTACATACCAAGTTACACATGGATTTGGTGACCTTTTGTATGTATTTTTCAACAAAGTGTCATTAAAAAGCTTGCTTCCAATATCACAAACGCGCTATGTTTCTTACGTATAGAGCGTGCTAATCATGGAGGAGTTGGAGCCGTACAAGGACAAGCCGTCAGACCGGAACAAGGCGGTTGAGATCACCGCCGCCACCTTCGGCTGGGACGCGCTGGACCGGAAGGGCGAGGAGAAACGCGCGAAAGAAAAGGATTCTGGGAAGATGCAAAATGGTGGCCCGCCCGGAGGACGAGGAGGGCCACCTGGGAAAAAAGGAAAGAAGGGAAAGAAAGGAAAGAAGGGCAAAGATGGGGACAAACAGGAGGAGAAGGAGGAGGAAGAAAAAGACAAGACTATCCCTACCATCTTTGACATTGACCTCACACTTCCTAAGGTATTTTTGCTTATAATTGTCAAAATGTCATAACAGCATACTTTTATAGATAAACGTTTCACACTATACATATGTCTAAGAACATCTCTGAAAGGCATTAGGGGCTGTAACCATTTAATAAAATGTTTTGAACGTCTTGATTGTCCCAGGGATCCCTACTCGGAGTATGTGGAGGTGTCGGCTCCGGTAAAAGTTCTCTCATCTCTGGAATCCTTGCCCAGGTTTGTTTTTATATTAAACATTATCTGTATTCGTATATAATCATCTAAAACAAGTACGGATATGAGTCATTGTCTTTTAGTCAAGGAACTATCACGCATTTCTCCCTACAAGGAAGTATGAATAGATAGTAAAATGTTGTCATTGCTTCAACAGATGCGGCTTTTAAAAGGGAAGGTGGCGACCGAGGGTACGTACGCGTACGTGGCGCAGCAGGCGTGGATCCTGAACACCAGCGTGCGGGACAACATTCTGTTCGGACAGCCGTTCGACAAGGAGAGGTAGGTTGGATACGTGTAGCGCTTGAACCCATGTGTCATTAGAGTGTGATGTACATGTACAACTGTGACACATGTTTTTTCATTATGTTTACCGAAGGAAAACATTGTTTTTGCTACGTTCCCTCCTCCTCTTCTTCTTCTCCAAACCAAAAGGTCAATGACCTGAACCACACGTCAGTCACCGTAGTAACTAGTGTTGGGTTACATCATATTGCAATTTTATAGCAGGAGGGATTTAGACTCCTATACATGCATGTGTTTAAGTAAGAATTAACAGAGCAGACCATATATAAAGGTAAACATCACGCATTTGCTTTGCAAATGTTACCTTTCTAGTGTTAATATCAAAACTGTGGTTGTCATCAAGATCAAAGAACAAATATTTCTATACATCGCCATGCACATAACTCATATGAATGCAAACGTACGATTTATCATTCTACTTCAGAAGACTACAATCCGTGTGTATCAAACCTGAATGATTGACTCACACGAAAACTATGCTAAATCTAGTTCATCGTTTGTTTTAACGCAGATACGACCGAGTTTGTTACGCCTGTTCTTTAGTACCGGATTTCAAGCAGCTCCCAGACGGAGACCAGACTGAGGTATGTTTTGTATCTTGTCATAGGCTGTAGTGCCGAATTTTGCTAGGACTAGCACATCGATATCGTGACCTTGAATCGGACTTGAAGGGCCCTGGGCTTATTTTTAGGGTACCACCCACAAAATAAAGGACTGATCTTGGGGCTTGTTTTTGCAGTTTTGAATGCCCAAAGTATGAAATGCTGACTCAAATGTGCTAATGTGAACCAGTATGTGTCAATATCACAAAGATTGTCTTATTCAGAATATTTCGTTTTGCTGCCTTCAATTTCAATTTATTTATTTAACCAGTAATTACAACTCAGGCCATTTTGGCCTGCTTTTCAGGTAATCCTGGATACACATAAAAATACACACGCAAATACACAGTACATAAACTATTACTAATTACAACATCCTAAACATCAACAGCGTCAAGTCCTGCACCTAATGAACTGTTAAAAATCCTGAGAAGTCCTGTTCCTAATGATCTCACAGTTTAAAAGTCCTGAGAAGTCCTGCCTTGAAATCGCATTGGATGCCTATGTTGCTCCCCAGATCGGAGAACGCGGTGTGAACATCAGCGGGGGGCAGAAACAGCGCGTAAGCCTGGCACGTGCGCTGTACGCCGACAGGGACATCTACCTGCTGGACGACCCGCTGAGCGCCGTGGACGCGCACGTCGGCAGGCACATCTTCAACAACTACGTCAAGAAGGAGCTCAAGGACAAGACGGTGCTCTTCGTCACCCACCAGTTGCAGGTACCACAGAGCTCCATTATTCCTTTGATTTCTACTTGAAAATGAGTAGAGTTTGTATTTTGTATATTGTAACCCTGTACATGTAAATGCAACGTTACTGAGCGAATGTCCAAACGATTCAGACGGTCGTCAGGATGACTGACCCAATACGAAGGACACGTGACATCAGAAACACGTGACATCAGAAACACGTGAAATCAGAAACATGGGACATCTGAGGTTTCATCGTGATGCTAACAACTTTTTAAAAAACCTTTTGTTGTAGTATCTCAGCGACTGTGATGAGATTATTGTGTTCAACGATGGCCGGATCACGGAAAAGGGAACACACCGTCAGCTGATGAACCTCAATGGAGAATATGCCAATCTCATCCTGAAGTAAGTCTACACATTACTAGAGCTATATGCAAACGTCATCTAAGGATGGCTTTGTCTCGAGTTTCTAAATCTGTCGGGAAAGCAGCAGACTGTAGTATTCTTTTAGTAGACACATTCACATATTTTTTTTCAGGATATATGCATGTATGGGGAATAATGAATGGTTAATGCTCCTCCCCGTATATGGTGAGATACTGTTACTGTTAGTGCCTTGTCTCCTGTATAATAGTATGGTCCAAAAAGTGGTCGGTTATTCTAATAACAGGCCATTTTTGACTTTACGTCCTGATAACCAATGGCAAATGGAGCTTTCTGATTGGTCGACGCCTTCTGGCTATATAATAATTATATAATAACCATATAATAACCCCCCAGTGTGGTATAACTACTTTTTCACGATGATTGTAGATTAATGCATTATCATTTTCCACAGCTTCCACGAAGACGAAGAAGATGACGAAAATGGAGACGTGATTGTCGAACAGGAGGACGTGGTGATCGAGACAGAAAGGTTCTTATCAACCCTCCTTGATAGACTAGCATGTCTTTGTCCATTGAGCCGGCAAATTAAAAAGAAGCCTTTTTAACACCACGAAGGCATACATAGTACACAATTCTTTTTTTGGCACTGCACACTAGCCCATCAATTCCGTTGACAGAGCAATTTGTGAAAGTGGTAAAAATAATTTTGAATCTTTGAATCATTCACTTTCTTTTCTTCAGTCCCCTTCAAAGGAACCCGTCAGTACAGCGTTCACTCAGAAGGAGGGACTCCAAACGTGCTTCTCAGAGGTAAGACCAGAGAAGAAACAGAGAGAGACCATTGGTTTTTTTAATGTACCATGTACCAATGAAGCTTGAATTCTGAGAATCTTGAAATGGCCTGAATTTTCTGAAATCTTCGTGAAATCTTTTAACCTTCTCTGGGTAGAAATTTATTGCGTGAAACGATAACATACATTTACATCGGTGAAGGTTAGACATCCAGGTAATAAGATACGCCAGAAAGTCTGTGGTGCCCCCGTCTCTGTTGAGGGATTGTTGTAATTCTCTGATGTAGATGGCCTCTTTAATCCCTCGTGTGAAAATTTGTTCGAAAATTTGAGTGAGTCCAATTTCTTGCGTTGGATATTGCAATTCGAACTTATTATGTTTACCGAAGGAAAACATATTGTTTTTGCTCAGTTTCTTTCTTCTTCTTCTTCTCCAAACAGTGACCTCTGACCTGACCAATGACATGATTTGTTGACGTCTGTCACCATGGTGACTGGTGTTGGGTTACATAATGTTGCAATTTCATGGTCTGCGCTGCTGCTGTCACCATATACTATTAGTAATGTTACATGTATGTGAATGTTTTTGAGTGAGAATTAACAGAGCAAACCATGTCCGAAGGTATTAACATTATGCATTTGCTTTGCAAATGTTACTTCTCTAGTTTCATACATTTTTTTTTGTTTTTCAGGTCGTTCCAGCGGCAGGACTCCATCCGTGGTTCGGTGAACCTGAAGCGGTCCTACAGTATCCGCTCCGTCCACAGCACAGCGAGCGAGACGGCCGGGCACATCGAAGAACCGCCCGAGAGGGAAGACTTCGACCCGGAACCAGAGGGAAAGAAAGAAGAGGGAGACCCCCAACGTAATCCAAACTTCCATCTCACTATTTCATAAGAAAAAGACAAGGAGTAATCATAGGAAATAATTGCGTCAAAATGAAAGCATCACCAAATGTAACTGAAAGAAACACTTCTTGGGATAGTTATTATTTCTATGCGATTACTTACTTTGTACGTTTACACGATTAACAAAATTATATACATTTAAGGTTCACATAGATGTGATTTGCTGGAACATTTAAATGTGTTAACCGTTGTCTTTATTTCTTGCCACCAGGACTAGTAACCGAAGAGGAGAAGTACAAAGGCACGGTGGCCTGGGGGACGTACTGGTCCTATGTCAGGGCCGGTGGAGGTAAGCCATATTTCTTTTTCTAGACGTTGCTATTAACGCTCGTTTTTCCTTTACAAGAAGCTGGTAGAAAATCTAAACGCTAGTATTACACAGCATCAAAATGGGGTGACCGTCAGGTAACAGACAAAAAAATTAGCAACAACATAATAATTATAAGTTGCCGCAAGTACCACATAGTTGCGATGTACATTAATAAATATCACCTATGATCCTTCCGATGTTGCCTTTAACGTTACTGATCTCTGTGTTCTGTAGGTGTAATCGCTTGTTGCTTCACGATGCTTCTCTTCATCCTGAACACCGCGTCCATGGTCTTCAGTAACTGGTGGCTCAGCTACTGGGTCAACCAAGGAAGCGGGGTGTGTCTATTGGATTACTTCATCAAAATACAATATATATTTGTACTGTATCTCTTGTTCTAAGTTTAAACGTTTGGGCCGGCAACAGTAACGTTCACAGTCACCAACGTTAACCATTTCAAGATGAATGACCGACTGAATTCGGTCATATGACGCCATGGAAACACGACACCGGGCAACGGTTACTTTTTTGCAGACATCCAGAAGTCGATATCGTCCCCCGTTACTATCTGGAACCTCAACCAATTGCCTTCCTTGTTTCTTTGCTGTAGGTGCCATACAACCAATCGGACCCAAACACAGTCAACATCACCAGTAACCCGAAGTTGAACTTCTACATCCTGATCTATGGCATGAGTCTGGTGGCATTGCTGTTTACTGCAGTCATCAAGGGCTTCTTCTACGTCAAGGTAAGGACTTGTTTAAAGTTAAAACCTTTGATCCAACACAAAGAAGTTCTCTCACCTAGAGCTTTCTACCAGTCACTCTAGTCTTCCTCAGTAGACTGGCCCAGTGAGGCTTCTCACGTGGCTTCTTTGATGTGTGACGTCAACCTTGGGTCAAAGGTATCTGGTAGACGATGTCGGCCCCCGTCGCGGTTGAGTGAAGGGTGATGGTCCCTGATGTAAATAGTCTCTTTCACCCCACTCAGGAAATATTAAAGACTTGTATAGAGAAACATAATCCTACGTCTAAGGATTACATGTACTGATACAGTTAACACAGTTATGACTAGCTGTTTTTTTATGGAAGATGTTAAATGATGTCTGGCTTTTTCTTTCTAAGGTGACACTCGGAGCTTCTTCGTCGATGCACGACTCAGTCTTTGCTTCGGTAGGTCAATTTACGAAATGGCTCATTTCATGACTATATCAATCAACTGTTGTTACATGTCAGATTCATGAACTACATTCGTAATCTGAACTGCATGTGAAATTACAAAACCAAAATACACATATGATTATTTGAGGCACCTCACATTCGTTAACTCATATAATATATAATATCTATTTAGGTTTGGTTCGTATCCGGGTTCAGGAGGTCACTTGAATATTATTGAACGTCTTTCCGTGCAGATTTTCCGTTGTCCCATGAAGTTCTTTGACGTCACTCCCACTGGAAGGATCCTGAACAGGTTCTCGCGAGACTTGGACGAGAGTAAGTGACGTCACTGCCTTGTTCATGATCCCATATGCCTTCAGCAGGCATGCCAGTGCATGTGAAAATCACCACACTGCTATTGTTTCTTTGCAGATCAAAAATTAAAAAAAAAAGTTCGTAAGCTTAGAAATGCGTAGGTGTGGCCAACAAAAGCTGTTTAAAACATGATCATTTCATTTGTTTGTAGCCATAATAGAATGCCATTTCTGAGGTGTGTTTCCTTTTGTATTTCTAAGAGATGTTTCATTTTGTTCCCAACAGTTGACGTCCGCCTTCCCCTGACCATGCAGTTGTTCCTGGATAACATCTGGGTCGTGTTCGCCTCCATTCTGAACGTCTGTATCGTGTTCCCATGGTTTCTCATAGCGCTGGTGCCTCTCGGCATCATGTTCGCCCTGGTCAACATCTTCTTCAGACACATCATCAGGGAACTGAAAAGGTAAGATGTTGATTGATTGATGGATTTACATTACAAATTGTTGACAGTTATCAAAACATAATTGTGTTCAACAGCCACCAATATGCTACTGTATCATTTCGCCAAACGGATGCATACCAGAGCTTTTCGGTGAAGAGGTGTTTGTATGAATGCTTGTATGTATGAATAGACTCCTTTCCAAACTTTCCAAATACCGGCGCCATTTTGAAATCCGCTCTCGCGAGAGCACAATCCGGCGCGAGTCCGCGAGATTTCAAACGCGAGCGGTAAGAGATTTTGCGATCCGAGCGTAAACAATGGCGTATAACCTTGTCACACGTTATACCAACCCCGCCTCCTCTTGTGTTTTCCAAAGATTCGACAACGTTCGGAGGTCCCCCTGGTTCTCCCACGTCACGGCGTCCATCCAGGGCCTCAGCACCATCCACGCCTATCACAAGAACGGCGACGTCATGGCCACGTTCACCACGCTCATGGACAAAAACAACGCCGCCTTCCTGATGTACCACTTCAGCACCCGCTGGCTGGCGGTCCGCCTCGACACCGTCTCCCTCTCCATCAACGTGCTGGCCGCGCTCATGGTGGTGGTGTTCCAGGGACAGATCCCGCCGTCCTGGGCCGGGCTGGCGCTGTCGTATGCCATTCAGGTGAGCGGCAAAAGTACCACTAGTAAGGAACACTAATTGTGGTAGTGCTGCTTGTTGTAATACATGTGTTTAGTGCTATACGTAATAGTTGTTTTTAGTAACCGTAGGTATAAGTGCGCAATGCGGTAGTAGTAATAGTAGTTAGTAGTACTGATTGTAGTATTTAGCACTATACGTAGTGTTAGTTTGTAGCAATTAACGGTAGGTACTCGTATTAGTGCACGATGTACATGTACTAGTAGCAGCAGCAGTTGTAGTAGTAGTAGTAGTGGCGGTGGTGGTGGAAGTTTTAGTGTTAGAAGTAGTAGCAGTAGTGGTAGTAGTGGTAGTATACTGTGAACACATTACATATGACTAACGCTAACTGTATTTCCCGCATGTTCCGCCAGACGTCAGGCCTGCTACAGCTGACCGTCCGGATGGCGTCAGAGACGGAGTCCAGGTTCACGTGCGTGGAGAGGATAACTCACTATGCTGACGTACGTACTTGCTGACGTACGAACATGCTAGTCTGACGTCCATCAAAGAAACACTGAAAACAAAGTGACAAAACGTGCATTGATGCACAGTATAGTAATGGTTGTGCAGTCTCTGTTGCAAATGTATTGCCAAATGTTTATTTTCTTTGGTAGATGATATGTCGTATGTTAATAACCACATGTAAACACATACATGTCATGTCATTGCATAATACCTGGACTATTCCCCCACAGAATCTGGAGCAGGAAGCCCCAGAGCATATAAAAGACGCAGACCCGGCTGAAAGCTGGCCTGACCAGGGCGTTGTGCAGTTTGCCCGGTACCAGATGCGCTACAGGGAGAGCCTGCCCTTGGTGCTGAAGGACGTTCAGTGCAACATCCGGCCCAGAGAGTCAGTGGGAATTGTGGGTAGAACGGGATCGGGTAAGGCAGCACTTCCGCTTTTCTGTGTTTTTGTTTTTTCCATAAACTTTTTCCTATGACTCCCATTATACAGTCGATAGTTATATGATATGATATGATATGATATGATATATGATATGATATGATATGTATGGCGAACATATAGCCATGTGCACAACAGAAAACATTTTGTACTGAGTTTCTCTTTGATGTAACTTTATATCATTAGGCAAGTCATCACTGGGCGTTGCTCTTTTCCGATTGGTGGAGCCGACGGACGGGACCATCTTGATCGACGGGGTGGACATCTGCAAGATCGGTCTGCAGTCCCTCCGCAGCAAACTCTCCATCATCCCGCAGGATCCGGTCTTATTTGTAGGAACTGTCAGGTACGCATGGGAACCCCCTCTCTCTGAGAAATGGAACAATCCAAACTTCCAGATATAGGAGAAACGATTTCCAATTGTTGTAATTTTCAAAATTTTAACCACTTTTCAAAATTAAAACGGCTCTGAATTTTCACATGGTATAACTTTGATTACAAAAGAAAGTATGCAAATACTTATAGATATCGCTAATATGAATACAATGTCATAGAATTTTTTTCTTTGATTCAGTTCTATGATTCACTAAGTGATTGTGTGCCCTGTCCAAAATCAGGTATAATCTGGACCCGTTCAATCAGTACAAGGATCCGGACCTATGGCGTGCGCTAGAGAGGACCTACATGAAGGATGCGGTAATGAACAATTCAGTCATTGATTAGGCCATGTTGATTTGATTATATGGATGACATCCTCCGGGAACCCCAAAACTGATGCGCGCGTGCGAATAAAAAAAAAGTTTTGCAAAAAAAAAGTTGTTTTCATTATGAAATCTACGTGGTTTTGAAGGTTTAACAAATGGCACAGAATATGGTTTGGTGAATAATCTAGTCTTTAAGTTCATTTCTTTACAATTTCGTCTTTTTTCATTTGATTTTGGCATTCTACGACATTGGTATAGTTTTTATTTTGTGTATTACAAAAAATAAAAAATAAAAACTACACCAATGTCGTAGAATGCCAAAATCAACTTACGGCATATTTTTGCTCATTTTGCAACCGTTTTGTACGATTTACAGTATGGTTTAAAACTTTTTTTTTTGGAAACGGCCGAAAATTCATGCGCGCGCGGATGTCATCCATATAATCAAATCAACATGGCCTTAATTTGATTCCCAAATTTAATGATTTGATTGAGTCGACCTTATTTAATTGATTTCGTTTCCTTAAAGACGCAATATTGTGCCTCCTCACAGATATCGGGGCTAGAGAAACAGTTAGAGGCTCCTGTGGTAGAAAACGGTGAAAACTTCTCAGTGGGCGAACGGCAGCTCATCTGCATGGCCAGGGCCCTGCTCAGGAACAGCAAGGTGAGTATTAGCCAACCACGAGTCGGCCTGGTGTTGAATATAGTAATTAAGTCAGTAAGTGAGGCTTCAGTATTTTCTTTCTACAATTCCGAAATAGTCGTTACCAGGGCCCATGCGTGATCATACACACTTGGTCAGTATAAATTTTACCACCTGCATTTACGTAATGTTTTTCATGGCCTTCTTTACGTTGAGTGGGTGTCAGGATCACCATCTACACTTCATTGAGCAGAGACGGGGGACGTTACAAACTACAGCAGTTTTGACTACAGGTCACCTGTTACTTGTGAATGATTCCCTACATTGATGAAGATTTAGGTAACAGTTTCCGCTAACTTGCTTCTACGTAATGTCTTTAGACGAAAGTTAGGCTTTAAATGACTTTCCCCTGCAATGCCCGATGTTTAGATCATTCTACTTGACGAGGCAACAGCGGCCATCGACTCAGAAACAGACAGCCTGATACAGAAGACCATCCATGAGGCCTTCACAGATTGCACCATGTTGACCATAGCTCATCGGCTCAACACCGTGCTGAACAGTGACCGTATCATGGTCATGGAGGATGGGAAGGTACGCTGTAGGTTCATATGTACTTGAGGGAGAAACTCTTTGCGTACGTTTAGAAGCAGTAAACGTTAGACTTGTGTGTGGAGGGTGTTTGTGTATAGGTGTGCGCCTTTGTGCGCGCGTGTGTGTGTATGTGTTTGTGTGTGTGTGTGTGCGCGTATGTGTGCCTGGCATCTCTCTCTCTCTCTCTCTCTCTCTCTCTCTCTCTGTGTAAGTGTCAATGTGTATATGTGTGTGTATGTGTGTGTCAGTGTGTTGGTCTTTGTGCCTGTGTGCACGCGCACATGTATTTGTATGTGCCTGTATGTACGTATGTATGTGCACTGTGGCAGCTGCACTATGTACTATGTATGTAATGTATATTCGTATGTGTATGTGTGTGTTTGTGTACGTGTATGAATGTCTGTGTGCCTGTTTGCATAATATGTGTTTGCGTGAGTGAGTGAGCGAGCGAGCGAGCGAGTGAGTGAGTGAGTGAGCGAGCGAGTGAGTGAGTGAGTGGCAGAGGTGGGGTAGTAGAAGTTGCCACTAACGTACCTCTGGGTGTTCACGTCTCTCCACACGTCTGTTCCAGCTGGTGGAATTTGACACCCCAGCGGTCCTCATGTCCGACCCCAACTCACGCTTCAGTGCCATGATGGCGGCCGCCGGAAGTGACGTCAACAAATACCTCACAAACAACCCTCTACCGGATGTAGAAGAAGCAGACGAGGAAGAGGATACGAAGTTGTAAATGACTAGTCTGTTGTGGGACAAGTATTGTCGTCAGTTTGTATATCAGTCACCAAGGGTTTATATATTTTGATAATTAGTCCAGAGAAAAGATGTGCATTAACTTAGTGAGTATCTGTAACTTTTTCGTTTGTTTAAAGTGTTTTATTATGTCAATATAAGTGATGCAGATTGTAACATACAGTATCAAAAACCAACAGGGACAGTATTATTAAAGAAAATTTGTGGTGAAGATGAATGAGACACTAAAACGTTAACGGCGAGTGCAATTATTATCCAGTGTTTTAACCATAATTATTACAAATAAATGTTAGTTTTTCCAGTGAACAGTCAATGAGCCGAACAAGTATATATAAATGTTGTAGTATATATATGTTGTGTTATTTTGTGGGAGGGAATAACTTATGTCATTACTTATGTATACGGAGCTGTGTTACATTTTTATATTTTTCTCATGCCTTAACATGAGTTTTTTTTTTGCGATTTTATATATACTTGTGCCATGATAACACCAAACAAAAAAAAGACAATGGATGGAATCGAAAGACCGCAATATGTTTCAATTGTTACTGACTGTTGTTGAACAAAGTGCAACGGTTATATCATTATCATAGTCTCATTGTAAAGATGTACTCAATAACTACATTTCTACTATTTTCAGAATTCGAATAAGGGTGCTGCTACAGACGTTAATATTTCTACATATCAAAGCTACACTGTCTGATGCGCAATTTATGAATGTCAGGGATACTTCATGCGGACCAAAATGATGAATAAAACGTATATAGCGCTCATTATTTGTCTTATTCTTCACCTTAGATGGATGGATTTAATCGTATACAGATGATCTTGGCCCTTTAAATTAAGGACCAATACAAATGGAGTATTCTAATAGTTCGTTCACAAGGCCACGCCATATATAGAAGTGGTTGTAATCAAAGCTGGATACATCGATTGATTTTGGAGCAAGTTTGGTTTTCAAAATAAATTAGCCTTTGCATTTCACAATTCATTTCAAACACAAACATCCAACGATATAGTCTCTTCCATCTATGCTACCCACAATGCTCTAGTCTAACGTCAAGTTATGAAAATAAGCTTCCCTAGGAGAGAAACACAACCCAGTAGCAAGACAGACACGAACTTGGCGTGAAGATTTATATTGGATAAAACACATTATCACATATCTCTCTTTTCACATATACATATACACATATATACACATAAATCACATATCACTCTTTTTTACAATATACATATACACATGCACGTATTTATACATATGAAATCGTGTCGTATTTATAAAGGATTTTATATGCGTGAAGGAAGCTACGTAGCATTAAATCCATTTCAATCGAGCTGTGTTTCCAAATTGAGGAATTCCTTATATTGGCTTTGAAAGGAAACGTATGTACGTAAGCACAGTCGCATGGAGGTAGCTTCAACAATTACACATTTAGGCGAACGTCCATGTGTTACAGCATGGACCATCATTGGTAACGTGTAGTTTTACAATACCAAATGCTGCCATTGTATATATGGGTGCCTGGCAAGTAGATAGTGTTTCACTTCTACAGAAACGGCTAAAAGTGCGTCCCTTCGCTGCGCAGTTGTGATAAGGTCTTTGCGACCTTGCAATTTTTCAAGTTTTTTTTTTCATTTTATATGAGCCCCAGGTAGAAAGAAATTAAAGCGATGCATACTTGAAGCATTTCTTTCTACCTTAATTTTTTTTCCGTGTCAGTGGAGCATGCGTGAAGTATGCGTGAGGCATGCGTGATGTCTGTGTGAAGAATGTGTGAAGCATGTGTGAAACATGTTTGCCACAACTCATTTCATTCAAAACATAAAACGTGAGTTCATGTAATTTTTTTGCCACGCCGAGAACATTTTTAAGCCGACAAATCATTCACTCGTGTCGCTCTCTTCTCCCGATAGCCTCGATCGGATCGAATCCTTGACCCTTGTGAAGCCCCCTTTGATTTTGCCGACTAGTTTGGTGGGGGTTAGCCTGCCGCCTGATTTCTGAGAGGTACTTGGCTCTTCCTCTTTTGATTTCATGGTGGCGAGCGTAGGCACTCCCTTGTGCCCATAGCGCGTCAGGCCCTTCTTCTTTTCCTTCTCCCTCTGCATTTCAGGAGGAAGCGGCGGGCCATAGACCGGTTTTCCGTTCGGGGGGTCCGATTTGTGCTCGACTGTGTCTCGCTTCTTTGCGGCCTGCTGCTTCATCGCCATCTCTCTGGCCTCCCTATCTATCTTCTGCTCCCTTTCTTTCCTTGACTGGAACATGCGAGCGAATTTTGAGGGTTTCTTCACGGTTGGCGAAGCTCCCTGTACCTTTTTCTCGTCTACGGGAGACTCTTCGTCGACCGTTTCCAGTTGCTCCGTTTCCAGTTGCTCCATGCTGGCCTTTACCATAGAGTACGCCTTTTTCTCCATGGCCATCCAGTACTCCGTCGTCATGTAGGTCCTCCTTTGAGATGGGCTTGTCCAAGTCTATCTCGTCTTCACTGTCTTCTGACGAGTCGAAGAAGTCCATCTCCAGTTTCTTCGGCACCAGTCCCGTGCCCGGCCTGCTCGCTCTGGACACGCCTGTTGCCGCCCCGTAGTGCCCCGGCAACATGACCGGTGACCGATCCACGCCACCACCGTACTTCACTTGTTCCTGGATGCCGGGCCGTTTGTAGCTAGCTGCGGCCACCCCGGACCCAGTCCGCCGGAGGTCTGTCTTAGACCGATCCTGGCGGAGCCGTGCTCTCTCACGTTCTTCTGGGTCCTCAATATTCCACCATAGCTTTTCACGGTCTTTGGAGAACCTTCTACCCCAGTACTCGTCAACTTCAGCATCGAGCTTCGCTCTTTCTTCATCAGTGTACTTCTTTATCCCAGACGATACCCATGCGTCCGGACGTTTACGCTCGGGAGGTTTATATTCGGTCTGTGCCCTGAACTGTCCTGCCGTCGGTGTGGTCTGGGCGCTTGAAGGTCTTGCCGCAGACGACTCCTTCTGAGGAGTCCTTGGCGTATCGGCGGAGTCATTGGCCGGTTGGGTACTCTTCATAGACGCCGGTCCGGTCTGGGCACTTGAAGGTCCGGCCGTAGCAGACTCCTTCAGGGGAGTGTTTGGCCTGTCGGCGGAGTCCTTAGCCGGTTGTGTAGTCTTCATAGACGCCGGTCTGGTCTGGACTCCTTTGGGCTCCTCTGTACGTCTTGCTGACAGGGCAGTTGTCCCCACCACGGGAGTTTCCCGCTTAACAGCCGTCACCTGAATTGGTATCGGTTGCGGAATTTTCGTGGGTGGGTGCGCAGTCTGCTTGCCTGCTGTCTGCATGTCTGCTCGTCTTGCTGACGGTGCAGTTGTCCCCATCACTGGGGTTTTCCGCCGAACAGCCGTAATTTGAATCGGTTGCGGAATCTTCGTCGGTGGGTGGACGGCTTGTTTGTCTTCTGTCTGCATGTCTGCTCGCTTCGCTGACAATGCAGTTGTCCCCATCATCGGGGTTTTCCGCTTAACATCCTTCTCTTTAATCGGTTGCGGAATTTTCGTCGGTGGGTGCGCGGCTTGTGTGACAGACTCCTTGTCTGTAGACTGCATTTCAGTGCGTTTTGCGTACAGTGCAGTTGTCCCCATCACTGGAACTTTCCGCTCAACACCCGTTTCTTTTATCGGTTGCGGAATTTTCGTCGGTGAGTGCGCGGCTTGCTTGTCTTCTGTCTGCGTGTCGGTGCGTTTTGCGGACAATGCAGTTGTGCTCATCACTGGAACTTTCCGCTGAGCATCCTTCTCTTTAATCGGTTGCGGAATTTTCGTCGGTGGGTGCGCGGCTTGTGTGACAGACGCCTTGTCTGTTGACTGCATTTCAGTGCGCTTTGCTGACAGTGCAGTTTTGCCCATCACAGGAACTTTCCGCTGAGCATCCGTATCTTTAATCGGTTGCGGAATTTTCGTCGGTGGGTGAGCGGCTTGTGTGACAGACGTCTTGTCTGTTGACTGCATTTCAGTGCGTTTTGCTAACAGTGCAGTTGTCCCCATCACTGGGACTTTCCGCTGAGCATCAGTTTCTTTTATCGGTTGCGGAATTTTCGTCGGTGGGTGCGCGACTTGCTTGTCTTCTGTCTGCATGTCGGTGCGTTTTGCGGACAGTGCAGTTGTGCCCATCACTGGAACTTTCCGCTGAGCATCCGTCTCTTTAATCGGTTGTGGAATTTTCGTCGGTGGGTGCGCGGCTTGTTCGACAGACGTCTTGTCTGCTGACTGCATTTCGGCACGTTTTGCGGTCAGTGCAGCTGTGCCCATCACTGGAACTTTCCGCTGGACACCCGTTTCTTTAACCGGTTGCGGAATTTTCGTCGGTGGGTGCGCGGCTTGTGTGACAGACGTCTTGTCTGCTGACAGCATTTCGGCACGCTTTGCTGACAGTGCAGTTGTGCCCATCACTGGAACTTTCCGCTGAGCATCCGTCTCTTTAATCGGTTGCGGAATTTTCGTCGGCGGGTGCGCGGCTTGTTTGACAGACGTCTTGTCTGTTGACTGCATTTCAGTGCGTTTTGCTGACAGTGCAGTTGTCCCCATCACTGGAACTTTCCGCTGGACACCCGTTTCTTTTATCGGTTGCGGAATTTTCGTCGGCGGGTGCGCGGCTTGTTTGACAGACGTCTTGTCTGTTGACTGCATTTCAGTGCGTTTTGCTAACAGTGCAGTTGTGCCCATCACTGGAACTTTCCGCTGGACACCCGTCTCTTTAATCGGTTGCGGAATTTTCGTCGGTGGGTGCGCGGCTTGTGTGACAGACGCCTTGTCTGTTGACTGCACGTCAGCGCGCTTTGCTGACAGCGCAGTTGTGCCCATCACGGGAACTTTCCGCTGCTGAGCATCCGTTTCTTTAATCGGTTGCGGAATTTTCGTCGGTGGGTGCGCGACTTGTGTGACAGACGCCTTGTCTGCTGACTGCACGTCAGCGCGCTTTGCTAACAGTGCAGTTGTGCCCATCACGGGAACTTTCCGCTGCTGAGCATCCGTCTCCTTAATCGGTTGCGGAATTTTCGTCGGGGGGTGCGCGGCTTGTGTGACAGACGCCTTGTCTGTTGACCTTACCTCTGTCCGTTTTGCGGACAGTGCAGTTGTCCCCATTATGGGATCTTTCCGCTTAACAGCAGTATCTTTGATCGGTTGCGGAATTTTCGTAGGCGTCAATTTTGCTGTTTGGTCTCCGGTTTGTCCAGCTTGCGGCGCCTTTGCTCCTTTCTGTGTGCTCTTTGCCCCGGCATCTTCAGATGCAGTAGAAGGCTTCTTAGCATCCTTGGGCGGGGTGGCCTTTGTTTTGGGACTTTCCCATTCATTGTCGTCGCCAACAAGGGCTTCCCAAACTTTCTGGGAGTACTCTTGTTTAGTTTCTCCCTTTTGCCTCCCTTCACAGTGCCCTTCTGTGTTTGAGCTGCAGGCTCAGCCGAGCCCTTTACTGACTGCTTGTCAGCTTTTGCCGCTGTGGATTC